ATTACGCTTCTGTAATCGTCGGTTCGATCAGAATGCACTGGATATCGTGAGGTTCCCCGAAAAGAATACCTCGATTTTTGCTCGTTTTTCCTCGACGAAGATCGGCATTAATCTCTTCCCGGAGAAAGAGAGAGAGAGAGAGAGGGTCTCTGAAAAAAATGTATAAAACAAAGAATATATTCATGTCTATATTTTTTTTTAATTATATGAAAGTATTATTTTTCTTGCAAAAAATATCACATCATTACAGATTAAAATATACGAAATAAAATAATTCAATATACTGCTTACATCCCTCCCACTTGCCCTTCTCTCTCTCGAAAGACGTATTTTGCACATTATTCTGTTTTGCAAAATAGAAAAAATAATGCCATACATTCGATATATCGGAGAGAAACCCGGAGATTTGTATTCGAAAATTCCTCCGCAGAAACGTAGCAATTTTTTCGCGAAGATAGAGTCTCTGTGTTAAAAATAAAAATGAAAACTCAACAGCAATATACCTTCGAGGGGAATAGTACTTCCACTATCACTACTACATACCGCCCAAGAACAATATTGCTAATTTTACGAAACGGGGAGTTTCTCCGCGCAGCAAGAAGGAAATTTCGGGAGTTTTGCCGACGTTATATATATATATATATATCCGGCGCGATGAGAGACGCCCGAGATCCCGCTGTTTTCCACGTGTATTGTCTCGCTGCGGGGCTCCTTCGCAAACACACGGTTCTCGTAATCTGCCTGCGCGCCGACAATTTCGCTCGCAGCGACCCTGCAGCTTCATCCGTAAAATCGACTCCGCGATTATATCCCGAGAAAAGTCACGCGCGGAGAGAAACTACGAGGAGACTTGGATTTTTCCGAGAGAGGCCCTCGGAATAAATCGATCAATTTTCCGCCGCCTCATTAATCTCGCGATACCGCAAACGCACCCTCTCTCTCTCTATTACTTATTTCTCCCCGGGCAATTAAGTTTTTATCGTATTCATCTTCTTCGCTATCGCGGACCCAGCGGCGGAGTTCTCGCGTGCTTTCTTACGAGCATGTGAGATGTACGTACACGTACCGTATGTTGAACCGCGAAACTCTCTCTTCGCAAACAAGAGGAGAAAAAGAGAGAAGGAGAGAGAGAAAAACAATTTCAGGACTCGCGGGGTGCACGCGCATAAATTCGCGTGAAATATCGTCGTCCTCGAGAGCTCAACGGGATGACTGTGAATCGTGCATACGCATATGTGTGTACTAGAATATTTATTACATCCCCCGGATAACGTTTTAAGACGATTCCGAGCGCGGTTGAGTACTTTGTTTCTCCTTCCCATACGTATATATATGTATAATGCACCTGTTACCACCGACATTTCCTCAGTTTATTTTCCTCTTCGTCACCAGAGAAAAGTAGCATCTTGTTACGATGCTCTCCGTTAAAGCGCTTTATCAAAGGGAGATTGGAAACATTGCTGCTTTTCGAACCACGTCGCGATAGAAAGGGAGGGTGAAACCGAAAGGAAGGGAGGGATGGCCGTCTCGGGAAGAAGCAACCGGGAAAATGCCGGGAACTCGTTACGTCCATTTGAGAATTTTCCTCATTTCCCCCTTCGTTCGCTTGCCTTTCTTTGAGCGTTTCTTACGCCTCGGCTCTCTGTTCCTTCCGCTATTGGGAGTCAGATGACTCTTCAACCTCCGCTCTGTACTTCTTCCTTTCTCTCTTTCATCTCAGCATTTCGCGATACTCATTTATTCGCATCGACTGTCGACGACTTCCTGTCAATCCGCGCGACGACTTAAAGGGATGCTGACCATGACTGTTTTACCGACTTTGAGTTCAACGGCTTTTCTTTTTATTGGCTCTACAGATTGAAAAATCCTTCTCCGTAATTCAAGTACTGATAATAATGAAGAGGGGAGCGCTGTAATTTCGTATTAAAAAAACAATAAAGTTAAAAGATTACAAAAGTTTTTTTATCGGCCTCTTGCATCAGCTCGTAACAATACAAAAGTTCTGCAGTTTATTTATGCACAAAATATGGCGCTCCCAATAGAGATGACATATGAAAGAATAATACATAAGTAATAAAAATGGGATTGAAAATTAATTATTATTTCTATCTTGAATTAATTACTATTAATAAAAAGTGAACCTAACTTAAAGAGTAAAACAGAACAACGGCAGCATCTTCTTCACGATATCTCGCGGAAAGGTAGAGGAGGATTTTTTTTACCTTCAAAACCGCGAAATTCAGTTAAGTCACGTACAACGTTTTATCGCGGTTAGGTTTGGTATGGTTTCTTAAAGTGGCAAACACATCGGGTCCTTTGAAAAATTTACGCTCGTCGCGACACGCATCGAGTGTTTTCTCAAAGTTACGTCCGGAAAATGGAACGGTTCGAGAGCGATGGAATCATGAATCCCTCTCTCAAAGGCCTCGTATCGAGTTTCCGTTTCCCTGTGTAGAGAAAGAGCGAAAGAGAGCGGAATCGACATCGAGAGGTCGACAAATACAAAAAAATCGCATTTCTGCTTCTAAATGTAAACGATCCTTTACCCCGCCATTCAGGAGGAAAAGGCATACGAGCTATTTCCAATTGCCTGGATATACAGTAAAAAGGAAATAAATATTACGCGATCTGTCATTGACACTTTGTCAGAGATAGATGAGATAATATAATTTGATCATTTAAATCGAACGCGACCCTACTTCGCTTAATTAGCACAGGGCTGTTCTCTCGTCAGTGTCGCTTATCCTTGTGTGCTCTCGTATGCGAAGCATCGCAACGTGACGACCGAGATAACAAGACAATGCCAACGTCGCGGTTTTCACGTGATGACGTAGTGTGTTTCCCACGCGCGCGAAGCTTTCATCGTGAGAAGAGAGAGTGTCACCCTTTGCGAAGAGTCAAAGGGTTCGCGAAGAGAGATAAAAGAGAGAGAGAGAGAAAGAGAGACAGACATCGCGCGACAAAGTTGGAAGAGTCTGCGTGACCCAGAGAAGCCGGGCGGGATTCGGTGCATTTCAAAGTTTCCACCGGAAATTGGTATGGAAAGCAGATGGCCGACGGTTGACAGGAAGGATATGCGGTTTTCCACACGCATGTCATCGCGGTAACTTTCCCCTTTCCGTTCACGCCTCTTACTCCCAATGCGAGTTTCAGCGCACGCGACAAGTCGAACGTGATAATGCGTCTTTCTGTCATTTGTCCGAAAAGCGATGGACCCGGATGGTGGTAGACGAGGCATAAATCGTACTCGAATAAACGTCCATCGGAAGCAAATAATCCTTCCAGCGTTTCGCATTAAAGATTCTTTTGTTTGAACGGTAGTTTCTGTGCATAATCCTTTTATAAGTAGAATTACAGGTATGAAAAAATATTTTTAAATTCCTCTTTAATTATTTTGAACGTTTCGAGATCATCTTCGACAAATCGATGATCCAAAAAAAAAAAAAAAAACTGAAATGTTCAAAATAATTAAAGGAGAATTTAAACGCAATTTGTGATATCTATATCTAGCTCCTATTAGCTTTTTTCAATTTATTATCTTATATTATAAACTTCTCGAATAATAACGTAGATGTAAGTAAATATCTAAATTACTGCTTCATAATACTGCAATTCGGCGGAATAATGTTTGTTCGCTAACTCGCGAGAGTATCATTTATTGTTAGTCTCGAATGGGAGATTCTATCGATCGTCTCGCGTTTTCCGCATTTTCCTCAATTTCAAATGTTGTGTTGTTAAAATCTTACGCTCCAGTTAACGCTTAGCTAACTCATGGTTTTCTCTTTCTCCATTAATAGTTTTAACTTTTCCAATTAGTTATCTATTGTTGTCCGCACGTAATTCATTCATTCGTATCTTTTCTCGCGGATAATCAAATTGAAAAGCACGTGTGCACTGGATTATAAAGATTCTAAATTATTTTTTAGCGGTTGTTACATATCGTTTTACAACAATATGAACATTCGGCGTAGAACAGCATATTGTACTGAAAATTTATGTTTCTGTTTAAATCAGAAATAATGCCTGAAAATTTATCGTTAACAAATAATTAGTAAGATATAAATAATGTAACATACGTAACAATCGCTAAAATGTTAAAAGGATATTTATCATTATCAAGTTAAATGCACAGTGCAACATAAATAATGTAAATTATGCATAAACGCATACATCTATTATATTCTTATTTGTATTTGTTATTCATAAAGATAATAAGAAGTAATGACAATACATTTTGAAAACGATAATCTTATCATAGATAAATCTTTAAGAAATCTCTTAAAACAACGATTTCTTTTTAAATGGAATCCATAAGATACGAGTTATCAAAAATATTCTCTCAACATTCTTTTAATAATTTCTTAGCGCAATTGTAATTTATTGCAATCATAAATTCAATGAATTTTAAAATTTTACATATATCTAATAAAAAATGCATATACATTTTTTATTAGATATTAAAACTAAGATTCTTTCTAATACTTGAAAATATGGAATTTGTAGTTTTATAACGAATTCAAAATTTATAAAGACTATTTTTAATTTTTAGAAAAATTTTTTCAACATTTTTGTGCGTATCCAAATTTCCTGATATTAATAATTATATACTTAGCTTTTTCTCAAGTTTCAAAAGTCGAAAGTTTCTAGAAGACATTAAAAATCGTCGATACATATTCTGCTTATATTTCTCTTTTTCTCTCTTTTCCATCGGTTTGATTTTTCCGTTTTCATGGCAGTGTCGATGTTGCGATAAAAGTTATATAACGACTTTTTTTAATTTTTCCAATTCGCATACAAAACACTGGTTCCACTTAAAAAAACTTGATTGTGCAGTAGAAATCAATCCGATAAGACGTCAGATAAAACTTGTTTTGACAGTAATTTACGTAATGCAACTCTTAATTTGATGTGATAAAAATTAATAATTCCATTAATTGATAAATATGTATTAATTTTAATGAAAAACGATAATTTTACAAAAATTGATAAATTCTTAGTAATTTAATTTACAAAATATATTTATGTATAAATATTGCATACTGTTTACATGGATGGATAATAAACTAAGGCATTATCAAAATTTTAAACATTAATCGCTTTAGAGAAATACAAATTTGCGAGACGAAAATCTCTCCCTTCGAACCAAAATTAATTACTTAGAGATACACCTTCATAAAACGACATATAAGGCAATAGAGAATGATGTGAAAATATTCTTGTATTCTATGCAATTCGACAGTTCGTCACACATTCACAGCACTCTCGCGTCGCGTATACAATCATCCAATGAAATCGATCAATTGTTTTAATTATCTTTAAAAAGCATAGAATACGATGACCGCTCCGAGTGCGATTCCGGCTACGAGCAGATAAAAAGACAGGCCACGTCCGTTATTTTTCTGCTCTTTCGAGTATTTTGCCACCCAGCCCTTCTTCGGCATTTGATTCGTCCTTTCCGACTCGACGAGCACGCCGACCCGATACTTCTTCATCAGCTCCATAGCGTCGTTCGAATGCCCGACATCGTCAAAGTCCTCGGAGGCGTCTATGCCTCTGTGATCCAGAAGGACTTCCTCGCCACCCGGATGCTCGTTGAGGAAGCTGTGAACGTTGTACACTTTGTCGTGAATGATGAACATCATAGTGTCCTTGTCGGTGTTCTTCGCGACTTCGCTCCTCGTAAATTGCCTCTCGTTCGCCATGTCTTGTGTTGACGTTTCGTTTTATTGATTGATTGATTTATTTTTTTTTTTCGTCAGTTACAGTCAGCCTAAAATAAAGAGCATCGTTAGGAATATTTTGGTTACTTCGATGACATAAGAAAATTGAAATATATATATAATATTATTTCTGCTACGATTATCTATATAATATCTATATATATAGAGCATTTTTATTAGATCGCTCGACACGAGCAGCAAATGTCATTGATAAGTTAAAGCGCGATTGTATAAATCGTATACATACACACATATATATCACGATCGACAATGTATAATTTCCGGAAAAGAATTGTAATGTCGCGTCAGTAGATTTAATACTTACGTCAGAAGAGAATATAGAAAGATCTCTATATATACGTCGTATATTGTATATGTACAAGAAGAACGTCATGCCACGCGCTTCATGAAGCACGTTTATGAAAAATGAGGCGTTTGATATAATCAAGCATCGAGGTCACACTGCAGACTGATTGCGTAACAAGTGTTAGTGAGTCTGTCACAGTTATCCTTCAACGGACTCGTAGTAAGATAGTTTGGATCTCATAATTATGTACAACGGTAATGATGTCTTTATAAATGACTTTGCAAATTATTTCAAGTATCTGATAATAATTAGCGAACACTCGTTTGATACGCAATCTACACTTCTCGTGATACTAGTAACCAGATGGTAAATTGAACGTTCATTTTCGCTTTATTATCGTTTCGGGATATTATTTGAGCTGTTCTCTCGCGGTTTTGATTTGTTAAATCGAAGATTTTCTTGTATTCCACGGATTTGAATTAATTGATACTCGGAACGCTTTGAATAATTTCTTAGCACGCGAAGAAATATAGATGGTTTCGACAAATGAAAACTTCATTCCCAAGAGATTTCCCGATTTGCGGAAAAGGTGTATTTTTATTTTTCGTTCTTCGAAAAAACGAGATTAACATACATATAATTATGAAAAATCATAGATGAATCGCGATCTCATAGTCGTTCATGTACAGTTGAAGGAATAATATTTTTCTCTCTCTCTCTCTCTCCGCGATATAATCAAACTTTGTCCGATCCAGGACCATGATTAGATAAGTTCGTTTGCTTCGGAACTCCATGTTTTCACGACGAAATACCGATTCGTAACTTCAAACACGTCTCGAGCGCAAATACTCGCTCCGCGAATGGAGAGATCATCATCGACGGAGAGAGAGAGAGAGAGAGAGAGAGAGATCTCCGAACAAACAAGATACGAATTCGAGAAGTGGAATCGGGTCGATAAGATGCCTTTACATTTTCCCTCGAAACGAACGAGAACTGGTCGTCTCGAATCCGTCCTTCCTCCGCGAGGAAGGAACAGCGAATTCGCGAATGTACTTCGAACATACCTTCGCTCTCGCGGATCGACCTTTTTGGAGGAAGGCCTTTTGTGGATCAGTTGTTGTCAAAGTTATTAAGAGATGATAAGACGCGGGCGTGTGCCGATCGTTGATTTCCGTCGACGATGACGTTCGCGCTGCCTCTTCACGGAACCGCACTCGCGTAAGCACTGCGGAATCCGACTTGTTCACCGTGCAGCTTTATGATCCCCCTCTTCGTGTATACTTCATGTGCATTGGATTCTCAGCCCCACTGTTCACTGTTATCCGTCAGCGCTGCCAACCGTGTAATCATCATTGCGCTGCACACTGTTATAGTTAGATCGTCAATCACGGTCAATGTTCCATAGGTTCATCAAGTTTACTGCGTAAAAACGCATGCGAAACCGGTTCGCGAGAGAGAACGGTGTTGGAGAGACTGCGGAAAAATTAGAAAAAAAAATCCCTCACATGTTTTTCTCTTCTAGCTTTTTCTCTTCTCCTGTCTTCGTAACGAGACCTGATAATGAAATTTTGAATCGTTGCGTTGTATCAATTCTGTTTCAAGAGGTTTCCGATATCAGGTGGCGCCAGTCGGATGCTTGCTGATTCTATAGTCTATGTATGTGTACGTGTAGGTGTATATAACATCTATATAGAAATGGCATTATAAAGTGCCATTCGATAAAACGCATCAAGTATCTATCACAAAATGGCTTCATTCTTCAAACCGTGAATCCATTCTCGTGTTTGTACAATCAAGAAGATTATTCGTTGACAAAGCAACTCCAGTCAAATTAAATTTATCGAATTAACGTATTTACAGAAATATCAGTGAATGCAAATTTAATTCGTTATCTTCAAAAGAGTAATTATACTTTATCACGCGTAGAGCTCTCCCAAATTAGGTCGAGAAAGATATTCTCTGTTTCAGCAGAAAATCCAGTAGCAGCAATCGGATCCAATTAATGAATGAAAATACATTTATGTCGTATTAACTTGATGGACCATATAGTCAACGCTATAAATAAATTATTTATTATATAATTATCTTTTATTCATTCGCGACAACACACGGTCGCGATTAGAGCGGTCGAGACCTCTTGAAACTTCTTCCATTGTACCTGAAAGCACGCGCAGTCTGTAAGAATAATAGATTATATTTTCTTGACATTTTTTTTATCAGATAACTAGTACCATTTCTATTCCTGTGAACTTGCGTATTATGTAGCATGACGTTCGATTCATATGCAAAAACGTCTAGTCATGGTGACGCCGCGTATTTATCTGCGTGCATGTCGCAGAGAGATAAGCGCGATAGTCGAGTTGGTCGATCGACGAAGTGTACATTTACCAGAGAAACACAACTTGACAATATATGTGGAAAATAAATCGATATGTTTATTAAGATTTTTTTGCATCAAATATTTCGAAGCAATAACAGTGATATACGTTTATTATTCATACATTTTTTCTCCTTCGCACACATACACGTACATATTCGATATTTCATAATTGTCTGTTATCGGATGAGGTGGCATTTTCTTCTAGTGTATAACGAATGCTTGTTAATTGACGTATCTAATTGCTTTCAAGATATTTAAAATAATAGATAGTTTTGAATAATATGTAATATGCTAATATTTCTTTTAGGATGCATATTTTACATACATTTTGGATATTGTGTCCATGTAGGCATGTGTCAGAATTTGAGACCAAAACAAAAAAAGTTACATAACACGTATCGGATTTTTGTTGAATCATTCCTTTAAATATATATTTTTAGCTACTTTGTTACAGATTACATTACAACGCATAAATTTAGTTGTAGAAACAATGAGCTTTCAATTTTTATCTGGACAATTATAAGCAAATCAAGTATATTCATCTGATTTATACATATATATTTCCTTAATTACTTTTTATGAGTGTTACAAAAATATTTGCTTGATTTTAAAGTATATAGACGCATATATCTCCTTCAGTGCAGAGTTGAAAAGAAAACAGTTGTATATCGCTAAAGATAATAAATTATTTTAAAAATCCAACAACACAAACACAAGTAGGAGAGATAATATTTAAAAAGCTGAACAAACTGATTCTCGATACAAAATGAACTTTGTATAACATTATATTGCGCGTATAGAATTTTGCTAAAATTAGCTATCTACGCGTATTACGCACACATATATTATATTCACGTGAAACGGTTTAAATTACATATTCTGATAGTAATAGTAGAATATTATAGCATAAACTACGACACCAAGATAGGCGAACATCATAAGCGAGAACTTTCCTTCCGTCTGGCGATTATCTTGGTAGTTTACTGTTGATTCTTTATCTGCTTAAAAAGAAGAAAATATTTATTCCCTTAGGGTAACAATAAAATTCTTAATAATTATCTCTGTAAATAGATATATTATTTATGTTTTATTATTTGTCGTAACCACGTTAATGTATTTTTAATTCGAGGGAAGAGACATTATGAATTAAAAAAAACTCAATAATCATCGAGAAACAAGATAAGCTGATATATTTTATCTATAAAACGCTGATATAAAATGTCAAAACAATGATACGGAATCTAAATTTTTGCAGCGATTAAAAAATTGCAATCGAAGAGTAAAAAATAACCTGTTATCGCATCTGCACCAGTTGTCTCTGACCGAATCTCGCTCGTTATCTGGGATTGGGTCGCGCTCTCCTGGTTCGTTACTTCTCCGATTTTAAATGTCTCCCGAAGTTGCTTCGCCTCATTAGTATGACCGATGTTCTCGAAACACTCGGTTGCATCTTGCCCCGCCAATCCCAGCAGCACCTCCTCGCCACCAGGATGTTCCGGCAGGAACGACGTGACGTTATAAACACTCCCGTGTATTATTATCCACACATCCTCAGCGTTTTTGTGCAGGGCGACTTCCTCGATCGTGTATTTATTCATCGTGGTTCTACGATGAAAAAGCAAAAATAAAATTCTTTTGTACTTTTCACACGTGTGATTTTATTCCACGTTTTTCTTCCCCGAGACACAACAACAATGAATATATTTGATAAGTTCACTCTTTTCTTTTCACCTTGGGACAAACGCACGTGCGCGCGCTCGCGAGATCTATTTTCGAGATGTCGATCGGATCGAAGAGGCACTTTGAAAGGGAAAACAGGCCGCGTGTATCGGACAGAGATGAGTTCCTCGACCAGGCTTCGTCTCCTCGCGCGTTCGCAGAGTCACTGCTCCGGCCAGTGGCTTCGTTTCCTTTCGCCTAGCTCTCACGGATATGTCGATGGCGTGAGACGGGTTTCTCGCACTTGTACGTGCACTTTAGTTCACGCTCGGTTCCGGTACGAACGGTATAACTCGCTTGCGACGAGTTCCCAGCGCGTGTTTTCTGGCCTAAATAAAATCGCCGACGATAATAAAACGCGGACTCACGCGATATCGAGCGGTCGTCGCGTCCCTTATATATTTATTTTACAACTCTTATACCTTTATCTCCCTATTTCTAGACCGACACGGTCGTGTCGTTGTATAACTCTCCCGCTTCTTCTTTGTATTAATATTTATATAATCGATCACTGATATTCAGTCCGTGTATGAAAAAATCTTGCGGTTTTTATCGATTATCGATCTTATCTATCTAGCTCTCAATGTCGAGAAATGTAAATTTTAATCTATTAATCTAGACGTCAGACACGAATCTCGGGATCTATATTTGTTGAAAATTTGTCAAAAAATTCGGAAGTCTAGAAATATTTTGGCGATACGTCGTTTTATAAAATCTCGTTGCACTTAACCCGAGCAGTGTTGGAGTAATCTTTAGATACATGTATTTAAATTTGAATTGCTTTTATCAGATTCATTTTCAGATACATTTTCATATATTTATAGCAACACAATTATACTATCCAATACAATTATACTAATCATAAACATTGGTTGAGCGATTATTTAGCATTAGTCATATTTTAGTATTATGGAGAAATAGTTTGAGTGACGGATATCTTTGAGATATTTTTGATGTTATATAAGAGTAACGAATAAAGTCGTAAATCAAAAATTTATAAAAGATTTATTTAGTATATTTTGTGTATATTACAATTATCATAAAATATAATTTAAGAGTATCTGATATTTATCTGACAAAAGTATCTGAGTATCTAAATACATTTTTTTTATGTATCTGTATCGAAATACTTGAAATATATCTTACTCGTCACTGAACCCAAAACCGAAGTCCCGAGTTTTTTTATAAAACGTACATACACATAGATTACATGCAAGGACTTTGATCGGAACTCACCTGATTCTGAGAAAGAAATTTCGAGAGAGACAATTGCGATACAATTGGCGACAATACTCGTCTTCGTACGTCGAAATATACTCGTACCTATAATTCTCTGCAGGTACTGTAATAGTAATCGAACTAACTGACTGGCATTCTTTCTCGACAATCTTTGCGTTATCGGAGTGTAGATTCTCTTACATAAACTTTACGATCTCATGAAAATGCATCAAGCGATTTCATTTGTATTCAGTTTCAATAATGATGCCGCAGAATATAGACGGACGATAGGTGAAAATGTCGCGGTAATTGAATAATAATAATAATTAAAGTGTGTATATATATATATATATATATATATATATATATAATTAATTAAAAGTGTGTGTGTGTGTGTAGTATATATATATATATATATACTTTAATTAATTATTATTATTTGATCACCGCGACATTCACCTATCGTCTGTCTATTCTGCGGCATTGTTATTGGAACTGAATAATTCTTGCAAAATAATGATATTTTTAATGAAAAAAAATTCAACCTCACGCGAAGAAAAACAGAATTGGTTTTAAATTTGAAGAGAATCTAGAAGAATCCAAATTTAATTATAAAATAAAATAGATATCGAATGGTATAATATTCAAGATGGTTCATTGACGGTGTATATGTTGCATATATAGTTGACACAAACGCCGAAATTAGTATCGAGCGATATTGTCGACGGGTTTAGCGTTTACGTAAGTGCAGTTGGCGGCGCGAAACTTGCCGCAGCGATGGAAGTTTGTCGCATTGAATTGAATAGAGCGATTCATGTTTAGATTAGTTCATCACGCCGCTCGTAATACCGTGGAAGTTTGCAAACTCCAGACTTCTGCCACGGATGCCACTGCGGCGGAGGACTGTTAGGCAAATGCGAATTTGGGCGCAATGCAGCTTATTCTAACAAAGCCGTGTTCGCCGTATGGCTATGACGCCACTTCGAGGACTTCCAAGTTCTTTGGATCTTGCCTCGAATTGCCCATAAGTCTATTAAGACTATCTTATTCTGCATTTTTCATTTCTAGTCAAACTTTGCTTATTTCGTGTAAATGTGACTTTTATTATTATTATTTTTTTAAATAATATTTATGTTAAATTATTTATATTATATTGTTCATATTTAAAAAATACATATATTTAATAAAAATTATATTAATATGTGAAATAGGAAAATTTTTATTAAATGAAAAAATGAAGATAGCTTTATTATTTTTAAATTAATTATTTAATTAAGGAAACTACAGATAAGATGATTAGATAGATACAAAGTTTTACGTGCGCGGGGTAACACATTATTTCAAGTTTGCGACCTTGAAACTTCGAGGGAACCATTAATTATCTTCGGCTCTTGAATATTCAAGAAAATTAACTCGCGGAGAAAGTCCTGTTATATCGTGGAAGTTTCGAAACTCCCGGAACTTTTGGAAAATTGAAAATCTATACAATTACGGCTCGGCGCCGTTTCAGAATAATCGAGAGATCGTATCACCAAGAATTTTTCTCGTCATCGATATATTTAGTACAACATATCGTCCTCGATTTAACGTTTGTCCGAAAAATAATCTCTTTTCTCGTTCACACGAGAAAAGCAATCGCATACACACACACACTCTCGATGATGCAGCCTACGCTGCTATTTACGGCACGTTGCCTCTTTCAAAGGACGATCGATCTACGTTGTTCTTTTCAAGTTTACCGATATCGAATGTCAGAGGATGGAAGTCCGGGCCAGGCGAAGCGGAAGTTTCCTTCGAGAATCCTCCGGGACGCCTCGTTCGCAGGAGAAACGCGAGTCAAGAAGCACTACAACGAGAAAAGCTTTCATCTTCCATCTTCTATTTTTCCCTCCCTCTCGGAGCTTCGTCGATTAATTATCAAAGTCGCACTGCCGGCTTCTTCGCGATAAATCTCGCTTTGGCATTACGGTACATAAATAAGACGCTTTAGTTCCCCGCTTAAGCTCGAGAGATACGTTTCCGGCTGGCTAATGAAAATTTGATGTCAACCATGTACTCGCGAAATGGAAATAATGCAAAAGGAAACGCGGGAATGCGAAAGTGGTACACTGTAAAATCGTCGGGAAATAATATGCCGCGAAAACACGATATTCGATCAATTTACCAATTTGTTGAACGATCCTGTCGCGCCTGTGTATAAGAATCTTCCTTGTTTATTTCCATCACGTTCGAGATTAATCCGACAGTTTTGGACGCGCACCGGGTATAGTCTGAATTAATTAATTTGATTAAAATCGTATTTAGCTCTCGCTGAAAGCGCGTGCATCGTGTAAACACCGAAGCGCGATGTCGTTTCATCGATTTTTTCCTTCGAATCTCGACAAAAGCAGATTTAGGGTGACGCTTTTTTTTTTTTTTTTATTTCTCTTGCAAGTATTTGAATCCCATTGATCAATTATAGGCACGTCCGAGCGATATTCCACCTCGTTCGCCCATTCATTCGCCAGCGATCGGATATTATCGTCGACCTTTATTTTCATTGAAATAAAGCGGGATGAGAATATGTTGTCTTGCTGTCCTCTCACACCCTCGAAAAAAAAAAAAAGAAAAAACCACATGCAATTTCTTGCCTCGTGAAACTGAGACGATTAAACTGCCAGAGGTATAAATTGCATTTGTTTTTTCCGCCCTCTTTCTTCTTCTACCTTTTTATATATATAACATACATCCCTCTCTCGAGTCTATCACTTCGGGATTAACGCTGCATCCAGTCTCCTCCTCTCTCTGTTACCGGACGTCTGCATCGGAAACGTTTGAATGGATCTACACGAGATTGGTGGGAGGGATTCAGGTAGGGAGAAAGAGGGAATTGCTTTGATCTGCGTAATTAAACGGCGTGATTTCTCCGCACAATACCGATGCTTGCCGGACATACACACACTTTGTGTATATGCATGCGCTTGGATTAGATCGTTATCTGTTTTGGATATTTCGCGTCTATACAGCTGTCGATATTATCGGCAATTTTTCGCTCTTTGCGTTATTCGCATCAAAGCCATCTCCGGATGTCCATATATATATATATATATATATATGTCGTCACTGTCTGTCGGTTTTCATTGTCCGCGTATAAACGTAACGCAACGTTTCATCACGTGCCCGTTATCTTTGAAAGTTTCGATTATTATTTTTTTTCATTTCTTTCGCCTCGTTGTTTTCACGGAGAGACGACAAGTCGAAAATTAGCCGGAGAAGGATTCGAGGGACCAACCGACGCTGCACTTATTGTTGTTAACCGTCTCGACGTGGCGTGATCACGAGATCCGAGAAAGTGGTCTACCCTTGGGTAGACTGTGTTAAGCGACTATCAGCACGCGATCTGACCATTGTCGTCTCGAGGTATTACTTAGAAGTCTCGCGGCAAAAAGAACGGGGTGCAGATTAGCGTAGCGACCTAACGAAAACATTCGAGCATCATTAGGTTGTTAACTTAGGGGTGGCTTCAAGTTGCGAGAGAGATTCGAGAAAGTCGACAGGCTCCCTCGGGTTATCGCACTTCATGCTGATGTGTAATTAAAAAGAAAGAGGGTGACATCAGCCAAGATCGCATATAATCGTAGACGGAAGAGAACATGAAATCAAGTATAATCCATGCAGGGAAATCGTATGTAAAAGAATTCCTCGGTATATGCAAAAAAAAAAAAAGAAAAAAGAAAAACGCGTTATCCGGATCCAGGAATAAGTAGGAAACTTTCTTGTTAGTTGTAGAAGCATTATCTACTCGAATCCTTTCAACTTTCCGACTATGATGGAAGTTCTCGGTATCAACCACCCTCGATGCAAATCGATGCGCGAAAAGTTTTCCGAATTCTATCTATCCCGATCCTCGAGTGGCTGTCGTACAACGTCGTCTAACGTGCCCGAATATCTCTTGTGTTCCAGAAAACCGGAGCCAGGATCAAGATCTACTCCAACACCTGCCCCCGCAGCACGGATCGCCTCATCAGCATCTGCGGGAAACCCTCGACGTGCATCGAATGCATACGCGAATTGATCGCCACCATTAAGACTGTAAGTAGTATATATATATACCGCAAGAGATCATGACTTTCCTATAAATTGCTCGGTCCCATCCGCTACATCCAGCACGTACGAATGCGATCCTTTTTGTTAAGCGCGGATGATTTGTTTCCTCCTACTACAGAGTATCTCGATATTCCTATACCTTCGATATCTGTATACATATCTATAGTCTCCTAGATGATTTATTTATTTTATTTTATTAATTTTTTTATTTATTTTATTTATTTCATTTATGTCACGTTTACAAGAAAATATGTCAAAAAGGGGATTCTTCTAATTTTTTATACAAAGCTTTCGCTCTATTCGCGATATATCATCAGGTCGATATCTATTTATATAGTATACCTTCGATACATCTATAGTTTCTCAGATGTATATTTATTTATTTCATCTATGATGTCAAGTATGAGAAATATATGAAAAGGATCCTTCTAATTTCTTGTACAAAGCTTTCGCTCTATTCGCGATACCTATATGTGTACCATCAGGTCAGAAGAGACTAATTCCGCATTTTTATTTTCCAGTCACCGCTGAAGGGTGTGAACAATCCTTACGATCCGCACAACTTCGACGATTTTTACGCCGATGATTATGGCGGCTACGGGAACGCCGACGGTAATCAGGGCAAGGTCGGCGGATTTGGCGGGCCCGGTGGTCGCGGTGGTGGCGGCGGCGGCGGTGGCGGTGGCGGAGGTGGCGGTGGCGCCGGGGGTGGTGGCGGCGGGATGCCGCCGAGACGCGACAATCGTGGCGGCGGTCCTGGCGACATGAATCGCGGCTTTCCGCCGCCACCAAGAGGCGGCCCACGCGGAGGCGGCGGCGGCGGAATGTCCGGCGGCCCGCCGGATCGCGGATATGGGGGTAACTCGCGCGTAGGCGGTGGCGGCGGAGGCGGCTACGAGGGCGGCCGCGGAGGTGGCGGATACGGTGGCGGAAGTGGCGGCGGCGGCGGTGGTGGCGGCGGCGGCGGCGGTGGCGGTGGCGGTGGTGGTGGCGGTGGCGGCGGAAACCGAGGCGGACCGCCACCCTACGGCGGCGGAAATTACAACGGTAAGGAGGAATCCTTTTATCGATGATCCATGGAGACATGGGAAGACGATCGGAGGACCGGGTCTTGATTCTTTCGCATTTCAATTTTCGAGGGAGAATATTTTTTAATGTTTGTCGCGTGATAGAAAATTATTAAAATATACTGTGGGAGATGCCGATGAGATAACGGATGACGAACGTTCCGTTAAATCGTCGTATGTCGTCGAAATTTATATTCAAAGATCTGCATACCCGGCGTGAAACACAAGTCCATTAATATTTATTTCTTTTTTTTTGCAGGTGATGGATGGGGAATGCAAGGAGGCGCGCCTAATGGCCTAGGTGGCGGCGGTAACTTGGGGATGGGTGGCCCACCTATGGGTGGAAACAATCAAGGCAACCAGGGCAACATGAGCGGAAACAAGACCAGTACACAAGTCACCATTCCCAAAGACGTAAGTCGATCAAATTAATAGTTGTCGTATTTTTATTTTTGTATTGATGAAAAAAGATACGATGTTTAATCGACCCATCTTAGATTGAATTTTACTTGCTCTTACATAGACTATAAGTTGAAGTGTGAGAGAGGCCTGATTTACAAAATTTCTTATTTGCAGTTGGCCGGCGCCATAATTGGCAAAGGCGGTGCGCGGATCAGAAAAATCAGGTCCGACAGTGGTGCTGGAATAACTATAGACGAGCCACTGCCCGGCAGTAACGATCGTATCATCACTATTACCGGGATTCCCAGTCAGATACAAATGGCCCAGTACCTGCTGCAGCAGAGGTAATTATTATGTATATTCTTATCATATACTAATGCTATATAAACGTAGGTATTCGCTTTTCATTTCATGTTAACATTAAACGCTATCCTTATATTACATCGACATAACTTGGAATCAAACACATTCATTGTTAAATAGCGCCGCTAAATAAAAATGAGAAAGCATATTACGAAACTTCGATATTTATAGCGCAACATATTTAAACATGTACTATTATTTTAATTACACGATAAAAATTGTGCGATATAAAAGCTTACGATACATGACATTGTAATAAATATTGTTCTGCGCCCTTATTTTGCTATGATTTTGCAGAACTTTGCATAATGATATAAAGAAAATATTGTTGAAATAAAATCGAAGAAAGGGAAAGAAATCCACGTGTACATCATACATTATCTTAAATCTCGAAGAGATATAAACACGTGTTGTAAGATAAAGTCAATTTACATGTATAAATAATCAGTCTATGAATAATATACATCGTGGTATTCATACTCTTCGATTTTATATGGCGTATCCGATTATCGGAATATTCTCGCATGATTCTTCGTACTTCATCCGCTTATAACCGGCATCGCCCGTCATCGGGTCATCTCACCTCACCTCCAGGAACTAACAAACAATCCGACTAACCAAACAAACGGAGGCAAATGTAACAATCTCGCAATGGTGAAGGAGGAATCGAGACGGAGAGAGACGAACGAAGAAAGGATAGAACTACGCGCTAGAGAATCTCTAGCTCAGCGTGAAGAGAGAATGGAGCACCGTTGTATGGAAGACTAGTGATTTTGTTGTTCTACTTTCGATGTAACAAGGAATCACTAATCATCCTACAAAGGCGCTCACGAACGTCGCCTCCCCCGAGACCTGCTTTCGGAACTAACATCATCCCTGTTTGCTCATCGACGCGCCGTAATTTCGTCCGACTAAAAGTAGCGCCTTTTATAACAAGTGCTTATATAATAATCATTTAATAATGGAGCCGTGACGAAATAATGTGTGTAACATTTTATTCATAATCAGATCTATTTCCATTCTTGGCATATACTAATACAATTGAAGCTTCGAGCGCTATTATCACTGCGTCATTATTTGCTATATGTTTATAACATTGTTCAGATATCATTGTATTAAGGCTTTTAATATCAATTATCGTTTAATCTCGCCCGACGTCAGATGCTTGCATTTTTATTATTTTGCATTTTTCCCTCATTTTTTATAAAATTACTTTAGAAAATAGCTTTTAAAAATTCTAGAAATTAATCATATATATCAGGGAAAAGAAATATATGCTACGTATATATTATTCTAACTCTTTCATCTTTCCTCTATTTTTTCAAATTTTACTCGTCGATCTTCGACTGAATGAAAATTTCGTTATTTTTTCTGTTTCAGCGTGCACGAGAATGCAGATCATTACTAAGCCATGGTTGCATTCGGGGGAGGGGGAGCCAAAGATACATTTTTGTATTTTTTTTTTTTTTTTTTTTAGAAATATTTCTTGGGTAAATATGTAAACGTTGAGAAAGTGGAAACTGAAACAAGTACATATGTTGACATGCATCCACGGAGACAACTTCCGACAAAGCGCTACGCGCAGAAGAATGTGATGGAATTTTACACACACCACACGTGAATCACCCTCTCCCAGAAAGAGAAACGCTTAAATGGTCTATGCTAACGCGACCTTGATGTAGCGAGATACTGTTCTCAAGAATGGTAGCCGCCCATCGCAGCCTGCAAAGTAAATTGATCTATGAATCGAGTACCGCTAAACATTTTCGATGTCGGCCTTTTTTTAGATTATAGAACTCTCTTTGTATCGTGTTCGAGGCACATACACATAAATACACTGTCGATGTGACAGCGGGGGGTTTCAAACTGGCGAACAAATCGCACCGTGTTCCCCGATGTTAGCATTCCCGAGAAAACGTATTTATCGCTTGAAAGAAATCCAAAGAATGATATCCCTTCTCTCTACCGTAATAGCGCGAGCTATTTTACGAGACATCGTATTTATCTCCCTCTTTTTCTCTCTTTTTTTTTTTAAATCATTATTAGATGTTGTTCCCTTTTATTCGACGGAATTAACGTATTAATTTTGAACTATATCATAGTGTGTTAACGAATGATCGCTGATGAATGACACTGGCGCGAGACAGCCAATTTGAAACCGTTTACGCGCGTTCAAGCGACTTTTTGAACATCGAGACCTGACAACGCACACTTTTTTCGCATTACGTTTCTTTCCAGCTTTTTGATAAATTCTTTACAAATTTTAATCCTATTGAAGTATAAGAGTAAATGCGCAATGGAGTGAATGCGAGGGCAACAGTGTCGGAAGAGCGAGGTTGCAGCGACGAAGAGCGAGAGAGAAAGAGAGAGAGAGAAAAAAGATTTCACAACTAGGCAAATATATTTGCAAGAGAAAAGAAGCATACAAAAAAATATATCGCGAAAAGAAACTGTACATAAGACCCACTAACCATCCTTTCCCCTTCCTTAATTGCCGCATACACCGTTTCTCTGCTGTTGCATTATATTATTGTAGTTACTATATATTGCTTATTATTATTATTACTATACATGGTTATATTGATAAGGATATCTTTTACATTATTATATCCCACCCTAAATCTGAACTAATCATACTTTATCTTTAGGGAACGCATAAGCAGCGTTCTTAGTGTTATAATTAGTAATTAGATTTAAGGAAGAGATAAGTAAGTAAGAGTATATGGGGGGCACCATCGGCGAAGAGGGTACCAAACGGTTTAGGGAACGATAATATTGAATCTGCAACGAAGTCTGTTGTGTATTAGTAATATATTTCGATAAAAATAGATGTATCATGTTCGATTTATTTTCTGACTTAAATAATACTTTTTTCAGTTTGTTTCATTCGCCTCTATAGTTATTTTTCTATTATATATTGTACAGAGAATATCCCTCTTGCGCGAGAGAAATGTGAGATGTAGATTATCGAGACGAGTTCAAACGACGCTGTTGCCGCAGCTTTAAATCTTTTATCACGATCACACCCTCGTCGATGTGTGAAATCTTCGATTCAAAAAAGGAAAAAAAATTCACACAAAGATACGACGACTGCAACAGTTTCAAAAGTAACATATGCCGAATTCGACGTATAACATAATCTGTAAATATATACTTGTACCGTAGAAATAGCACTATCTTGTGAAACGCAACTCTACGCTCGAGCGATTGTATTTTTTAACAAGTATAGCGGCCGTATAGGTGATTTTTTCTAAGTGCAATTAAAAACAATTGTACCGAAAAAGCGTTATCTAGTGCAGCCGTTCGAGCAATCGTGATTAAAAGAACCGCCCCGGAGAATAACGAATTTAATTCTCGAGCTAACGTTAGAGGGTTACATGATCGTCATCGACGCATATGCCGGACTGTACAACCCTTGACCTTGATAGAAAAAAAAAGAAGCTGTGGTCAATGTAACATTACGATCGCCGTTTCCAGTTTTTCCCGCTACCGATGGTCGACCTCGCGTTAATTCGTAATATATCACCCTTTCCTCTCTCTCCTCTAATCCCTGAAAATACGTTTAGGTCAGTAGTCCTATCCCTTTTTCCATCTCCCTCTTTTCCTCCCTTGCTTCCCTTTTTACCGGGGCACTTACAAAGGGCATTTTTAAGCATCTTGACCGCGCGGCAGAGTGTCCGTTAGAGATGACAGCGTATCGACTCCCTAGACACGTGACTCGTCATATGCGGATTTATACATGTAGCGGTTCGATCAAAGAGAGACGTTCGGCATTATATGCCGTATCATGTATGGAATTATTTCATCGATGCGCCCTACTTTGCGTAAATCTGTGCCTGCGAGATGAGTCTTAGACTAGATTTCAAAATGACCCATATTCTTCAAAGATTTCGATCGACTGTTCACAGAACTACTGCGACAATGAGATTTCTTTATTTTGTGTATATATATATATAAAAATTTATATATATAATATTATATATTAGAATATATACATATAATATTTATGCATATAAATAATATTATATATTATAATATATATATATTTTTATATATTAGCTATTTTTCAGTTCGTACAGTGCATCATTGTTGAAATTCGGATCTAAAATACGAAAAGAAAAAGAAATGTAATTGCTTTTCCTTTTGATTCGTTGTGTATTTTACATATTATGTATTTTGTATTTTTTGAAGAGAATTAGATCGACTAATATTATTGAATAACTTCAACGTCAGAAAACGTTGATCTGTGAACAGTTGGGCGGAATCGCCTCGGTTCGCCAAAGTTTATACGGGAATCTTTTTTTCGTTGAATTTTTTTCTTAAAAATTCGAACAGGCGTGCGCAACCCCTGAAACTGAATCAAAATTGATCCCGCGTGAAAAGCTTCGTCCGCGTGTATGCATTTTTTTGTTTAACAACACACTTGTTAATTGTAATCCGTTTCACATTATACGACGAGAGGCACGTAAGCACGCGTGCATGTCTGTGTGCGTGTATGAATGACAGTAGTACGAGAGAATGCATGTATAGATGCCTGTTCGAGTGCAAATGGAGGAAATATATTGATGCCAGATATATATAAACCGATTATTACAGAGAAAGATTTGGGCTTTTGGAAGGTAAAGATAACGTGCGAGCATCATGATCATAAGTGGGAGAGAGAGCGAGAGAGAGAAAAAGAGCGCTATACACTCGTTCGTATCACGATGTGTGTACTGTATAAGATATACAGTTTACAATTATTTGTAACGGATACTTTTTATTTGTCAAATAAAAGTTAGTACAAATATGCTTTTTTTCTTTTCACCTGATCGACCATTAAATTAAGTGTTGTAGTATCTGCGTTCTAAATATTCGATATCATAATACAGGATATACTCCTGGGAAAAACCTTGAAAATCTGGTATTCTCATGGAATTTTATTCTACTTTGAAAAAGGGAATAATTGTCATGGAATTTCATTGGCATTCAGGAATTTAAAAAAAAAATTGTGATAATCTTATTCTTATTTAACTATAACTTAAGAAACATGTCTAATATATCTTTGCAATATTTAAGTTTTTATTAAAATTTCATGTGGTTTTTTTATTGACAATCTATTTTTAGTATCGAAGATCTTATATATAAGTTTCATAGAAAATTATTTAATTAAATAAATTATTTTTGTTTTATATTTTAATTTATATTTTTTCATATATTTTTAAATATGATGATATATCATACTTTATTATCAAATTAATTTTATAATTAATAAATCAATATTAAATGCTAGGAACCGTTCTTGATAACTTTGCAATAATATGTATAGAAAACATTAGAAAGCGCATACAATAATGAAACTTATATTAAAAATCTGCATTTACAAATTTTCTTAATTTACTTGGAATTTTAAAAATCAGGGAATTCTCAGGGTATTTTTTACAAAATTTGAGTAGACTCTCTGTAATATGAAGTGTCTCTTAATAGTTATAAATAAATGTGTATAGAAAAAGTGCTCTGTCAGACATATATACGTACATATTCAGAGCTACTTAAATTTATCAAATGTATCTCATATATACTTTTGAAAAAAATTATAAGGACGACTTCTTCCAATTACTTATCTGAAAATTAGCAGAACGTAATGAATCTTTAATTAAATTATATAACACGATTACTGAATATATATTGCTTCAGTATGATAAATATCCAATCTTTACGAATAATCGCAATTTGTTTGAGTGAATGCTAAGATATTAACCATCACATGGGAGTCTTAATACCATTCCATCGAATTACTTAGGGATATTGGATAAGGAAAATTGAAAATGACACGTAACGATCGAAACGAAAATAAAGAATATGAACAAAGAAATTACTCGCGTTTTTCTTTAACACATTCAGTCGTTCGATGGATCTCTCTAACATATACCAGCTTTTTCCAGTTGTATCACTTTTCGTAAGCTTAACGTGATAGCTTCCATTTTTATTAGCGACATGACGACGCACTGGGAAAAGAAAGCTAAATCAAAAAATTCGAAACATGGTGAGAGACATGAATAATTTATAATTATATAATGTTATTGTTTTTATTATTCTTTTTTCCACATATCATCGAACGAATCGCACATATCCGGTGCGATATATTAATTGCAGGACATCGCAAATGCTTGACTCATGCTATAAAAGGATACATGAACAGATGGTTTTACGTTTATTGCAAGAACACGAGTCTACACGGGTTTCGTTATATAAAAATGGATAGGTCGACAATGATCGAGAATGCCCTTTGGTTTGTGGTGAGAAAAACTTATATCATTGTTGTGATCTCTGAAAGTTCGAAGCTAACACTTAAGGAAATAGATGAAGGATGACTTACGGAAAAGCTTTTCGCTCTTGATAGGTCTGCGCATCGTCCATCATATTCTGCGTTATACTCATGCTACGTTTATGGAATACTTATTCCAACAATCCCATAGTGACGACCATTGATACGACGAACCCGATATGGAAAGTGTCCTTTCCCGGCGTCACGATATGCAATAATAATAAAGTTTATCTTCCGCACGCTAACGTTATCGCCCAAAATTTGTAAGATATTGCAATTTTTTTTTTATTCCTCTGCCTTTCTATGAAATTACGATCAATTGACTTTAGATTAGCGGAGCTAAAGAAACTCGGTGTTCTTAATTTTACATTTACGAAATAATATATATTGCACGATTTGACAGATATACGAATGGATTCAGCATAGAGGAGACTGATAAATTTTCTTTTCTCTAATAAAATTGATAAAGCCCGATAAAATCTCGATTGACAATGTAACTGCGTGGCAGATTCTCAATAATCTTGACATGACAGTCGAAAAACTCATGAAGGAGGTGAGTTTTTTGCTAAATTAGAAAATGATTATTTTATTATTAATTAATTTTAATTCATTCACGTTTAATACATAATAATCTCAATAATTTTAAAAATTATTTTCAATTATTTTAAAAATCTTCAGAAATTAATAATAATAATAATATTGCTCGTGCACAGTTAATGCAGCCCTGCAGCGCATTATTGGTAAGATGCGCCTGGATCGGAGAGATTTACGATTGCAACAAAATCTTTAAAACAGTCAAATCCAAAGAGGGTTTTTGCTGCGCCTTCAATTCGCACTACAATTTGAACGTCAGGCACAAGTAATTCAAATTTAAAAAATTTAAATAAAGGCACAATTCTCGCGGATACTTCACTTCGAGATCAGAATCAGCTATCAAATAATTATCTGTTGATTCGAAATTTCAGAAAATATTATAAAGGCAAGCGCGGTGTTAATTCAACCGATTTGAACATTACTTCTACGGATCTGCCGGGTGTGCGCGAGATTCTGGTAATTAATCTTATTAATTTCGGACGATATCTTTAGAGAGTACGAATACATACGGTGATCATCCGTCCTTTATTTTAGAGGACAGCAAGTAGTTGTCCCTTTAGATTTATTCATTTATCCAAAACTCAATTTTGTCCTTTATATTACAATTTTGTCTTTAATTTTTCATTTAGCGTTTTAATGTCTAATGTTGTAGTATTAATATTAAAATTTGTATGAAAACAACAGAACTTATTTGAGTACCAAGGACTTATTTTCAACATAGTCGCTTCAGTTTCAAACTACAAGAATCACAAAATTATTTTATTTTTGCTCAGATTTATCCTTTATTTTTCCTCAGGAAATATAGTCATATCACCATAGGTATACAATCTTCTGATCTTTGCAGAAAGCACCGGGAAGCGGTCGCGATGGGGAACTTGCGGTTGCCTTAAATGTCGAGCGTCACCTGTATAAAGCTACCTCGCGCCCTTACGTAGGGGCCACTGTTATGATACACGATCCGATCGATTTCCCCGACATCGGTGCAAACATGGCATCCGTGTTACCTGGACACGTTTTGACGATATCTGTCAGCGGTACTTCCGTCAAAAGCATGGAAAGTTTGCAATATCTTCCTAAAGAGAAACGTCTGTGTTATTTCGACAGACAGGTAAATAACCGATCCGATTTGGTTGGACAATATTCGTGACACGCGATATTTATTTAAAATTTTACGTGTTTATAACGGATAACTGTATGTATGTGCACAGATATCGAGTGAAAGTTATAGCTATCGTTATAGCTATCAATCTTGCATATCGGAATGCATAGCACAAAATACACAGCGAATATGCGGCTGCTTGCCGTTTTACTATCCGAAGATGCGTGAGTCTCTGTATATTAGATCATATGATATTTTTATTATGTTAGTTATACAAAAATATTTTTTTAATTTTTTAATTTCCTTTCTTAATGTTATATTAAACAGAATAAACTATTTTCCATTTAGATGTTTCAAGTTTTAATGTAATAAAATTTAGAATTATAATTAAAATCTTCAACATGTTGACAGACATAGGAATAAGGACATGTTATCTGCCCGACCTTGATTGCCTTTTAAGCGTTCGAAGTATGAAAACGTTTATTAATCATATACATTATATATATATCGTAATCACGCATTAGATAAGATTAGTAGAAAATTTAGGTGATTTTCAGAGACGACGGATTACTCGAAGATAAGAACTTGCAGGAAATGTCTACCTCAGTGCAGCGATATGACGTACCATAGTAATACGGAAGATATTAAGATGGACATTGTGGGATTCGACTCCGATATAACGTAATCTATTATTTTTCCAATGATAAGAATACTAACTTTTTCTTTCTTTCTCAATCATGATAAACAATTATTTTTATTATTTTTATTTATTAAACAAAAACAAATTTATTTCTACATGTTATAGACGTGGTTTGGATATAAGCAATATGTCCGTCATGCATGTATTTTTCGGTGATCTGTCATACGTCGAATATCGCAGGGAGAATATTATCAGCTGGGACACCCTTCTCGGTGAGTTGTGGATTTCCATAACATACAAAAGAAGTGACTTTGGAATTTAATGTAGATGCGTAATTTAATTTGCTCAAATATTAAATAAAAAAAACGCGCGCAATTATTTCAGCGTCCTTCGGTGGGATCTTTGGTCTCTGTCTGGGTGGTTCCGTGATAAGTATAATAGAAGTGGTTTATCTCTTGATCAGACAATTCTTCAAGAGACAGCCTGAAGAACAAGAGCGATCGCGCTCTGATACAAATTTACCACCGGCATCGGAAATGTTTCTATCGATTCCCGTGGAAAGGAGAGACGTTCAGAAACTCCGAAGCCATAAGAAGTCGAACGACAAGTCGCGCGTCTTCGTGATATCAACCAACCCTTCAACGGCGAACTTTGGCGTATATCGCGATCCCGTTGCGTTTTAAAAATCTTCCCTAACATATTAAAGTCAATTATTACGATAAAGTTCTAATCAATTTTTCTCGGATAGGATAAGGAATGAATGTATGTCTATTTGTGTGTGAATACAATTATAATATTTATTATTATTCTCGAGCAAAATAATAATTATCTGTTATACTTTAAATGTGACGAGATTTGTAGATGATTAGGAGACCTCACTGTGTACGGCACATTTTACTTTAAATTATAATACAAATATTTCACACTTAGATTTGTTTCTCGCTTGTTCATTGAAATAAGCTCTCCGTCTCTTGGCGTAGTTTCTCTTTATAACGCGTTGCGGAAGTAGCATGTGTTTCACACGCACGAGGAAGCAGGGGCTCAACAAGCAGTACAGTATGAAATTCGTCGAGCTCGCCAGCGCGTTTAGAAGAGTCGCCCATATGCGAAATCTGCGAAAATACGGGACGTCATAAATAAACCGATCGGGGAGAAAACAATTTCAGGGAATGTTTATCGGAATATACGCGATCGATAAGAAAAACATTGCCTCCGGTGCATGCGATATTTTATATTGTTTCAATGATAAATGATAAACAACCGTACGATCGTTTTGCGCGATGATAATAAATCTTTGATTGAAACTCCCTTACCTTTCCATGAAGATCTCCTGGACCTTGAAAGGATCGCCGCCATAAAGGAGGGACACGGCACTGCGACGTGATGCCAAATGAGTTGGCAGTTCGCCTATCAGGAACAGGAAGACAATGCCGACTAGCATAATCGTCAACCGCGCTTGATCCTGATAAATTGATGAAACAAATGATGAAACGCAAATTTTATTCACAAGAACACATTTTTAATATATTATTTTATTTGAATAAAATATTACTTTTCAAGTAATATAATTTTATTTAAATAAAACTACTCTTTACCAGATTATATATATATATATATATATATATATATATATATATAAAAATAATATATATTAAAAGTTAGAAATATTATAATTTTTTTTTGGAAATCATAAGTAATATATAATACCTTTAATGCAAATATTTTTTGATAGAAATCAGTTGATTAAAGTGTTCATTTGCTAATTAAATTAAAAATAATAATGTGTTTTAAATAATATATGTGTATTATAGTTATTTAAACTTGATTCATATTTTTTGCAAGTTATCAGCTGATGTCTGTCAAAAAATATTATTCGAGTTTAAATTACTATAACATATTTTAAATATTTATTATTATTAAAATTTTTAAATAAAGAAGATTATTATTAAAATTTTTAAAACATTATTATTTTCAATTTAATTAGCAACGCTTTAATTTACTCTTTCTCAAAAAGATTAATAGAGATTAAATAAACTTTATATTTATTTTTGAATATCAATCTTTTTAATATAAAATCGAGGATAGATGCTGCGCTTGTTGCTCTAGTATAATAAATTATAATAAAAACGTTATTTGCACCAAACAACGAGAAAGTTTTAATAATTGCTCTCGCAAAAACACGATTCTATCATGTTGTACGGTTTTCGTACAAACTTTTCCAATTATGCTCGACAATAATGACTCGCGCGGGACTCTGTTTCCGGATTCCACACGGTTTCCCAATGAGTTTCATGCAAATCTCAAATTCTGAGATACTGCCTCAGACTGAAGAAGCACGAACGTTCGTTTAGGAAAGTAGGAAGTATATACTCGGAAGTAGGATAGATTTTCAAAGTAGTCTCAAGAGCCAAGTTTTGTGATTTTGATTTCTAAAGTTTGGAATTCCTGGACACTCCGCTCAGACGAAGACGCCTTCTTAGCATAGGTCGAAACTGTTTACAAAATTGTCTCTCCACGGTTCCTTTCCATGTGCGGATAGTAAATATTTTGACGAGTTTTTACAAAATATGTTGTGTTTACTCACCCGCAGACGATTTCCTTCGCGTATATTTTTGCGTCTCAGCAACAGCTCTCTCTGCTTGAGAGTTTTCTTCACGAAGTAGCACATGATGCCATTCGCAATGAACAAAAATACTGCCGGTATTAAACCGAATATTATAAACTGTAGCCAATTGTGAAGATGGAACCACCTGGAAGGACCATCCGGATGCAATTTTGTCGGCCGAAATTGAATTCGGAATTCGTGCAAAATAATATAAGTATATATAATTGCTCGTTTTGAGAAGTAAATAGGACATTTTCAAACAAATCCACATTTTTTACGAGAATATTTTGAGAAAAATATTGTTTTCACTACACGGTTCTTTACTTACCGCGAATGGAACAATCTGGTCGTTATCAAATCGCCGCGACTGTTATACGTGAACATGAAGCAGTATGGTATGTTGATGAAAATGGCAAAGCAGCTACCGAACGTCATCAACTTGCGTGCAACTTGATGGGTACAGAACTTTGGTGGTTTGGTTCTCGGCATACTGTGCGAAACAAACTTCTCGTTAGAGATTTCGACGCGTATAATTGAAAATACATTGTACGCTTTTTTTCATCAATAAGTGTTCCCATAGTGAAAATAAATAATTTCTATATTTTTACCAACAAACTGTTACTAATCTATCCACGCTCACGCCTAATGCAGCCCAGACTGTGATATTCGACGCAACGGAGCCGATAGGGAAGTGAACGAATGCGTCGAATTCCAGCCATCCTTTGTAACATCGAAAAATACCTCGAGCTAGACCGGAAAAGAGGAGTAGGATACAAGTGACTAGATCCGAAGTTGCCAGCACTACGATATAAAATAAATAATAATAAAAATGAAAAAAAAAGAAAGAATTATATAAAACATTGAAAATATATAATCATATACGAGTAGCAAAAAAAGACACGAGAAACATTTGTTATTTTTGTTAGATTTTTCCTTTATCATTCTTTATCAAAGCACGCAATTATCATCGTGAATGATTACGATTATTCTCTCGGGACGTGTAATAATAACGAGATCAGGTATGTATGGAATTTCGCGCCGATTTAATGCGCACAACTGATTTTGACGTTTCCTCACCAACCTACTAAATACGTATACGTCGACGATTTCAAGTACGTCTTCGCCTTCAAGTGGACCGCGAGAATCAGCGAGTTCCCGATTATCCCGAGTGCAGAGATTATGGGAATGACCACGGTGTATCCGACAATGATCCAGATATTCGGTTCGTCCGTCCACAGTCCATGATGTTGCGTGTGTTTGTTGGGATATCTCGGAGATTTTGATCTGTAATCAATGGCATTAATGTGCCTGGATGGAGTTGGCGTCGCTGATCGCGTTCTATATCATATATATAACAGTCTCCTTCTCTTCTCTCTCACCGTCTGCATAGCACGGTCATATTGTACATCTCGGTGATGTTAAAATATGTGGGTCTCATCGCACCATTCGCCTCGTATTGGTGCATTTGCGACGAGAGGTCTTCTCGACCCATTTCCTTTACCCGGGAAACTTTCGCAAAGGAAGAACTCTACTCCATTCTCGTGGAATATCGGAGTGCTCTGCTAGGCTGGCAAAAAGCATAGTATTAAGTTGGATTTTTAGCTCTCAAGTCATCAGCTGAATCGAAGACTGATGAACGTCGGAGTCGGGATTATGAAGGAATCAGAAACTTACGGGAAACTTACCGATTACCCTTATCGTTGAATAGCGAGACGATTTGTTCGCAAAATCCTTCTTGAAATGTGTCACTCCTACTCTCCAGTAAGTAAGCGAAAAAATATTTTTTTAATCATTTTTAATTTTATTTTTAATATAAGTATTATATTATCTATTTTTCATTGACAATGAGAAGTGAACAACGAAGATAACAATTGCAATTTATTCACTTAGCACTTTACATGAATCGTAGTCTTCTCGACAACAAACTAGGCTTTTAAACGAATTCCGAAAAGCGAACGCAATTGTTGTCTCAAAATGTTATCGATGCTCGTGAAGTGAAAAATGTGAATAAAAGGTCACGTACTTCTAAAAACTCTCGCGCGCATGCAAAAGCTTTTAAACGGTTCAATAAACCATGCCTGTTATTCAATTTTTCGTATATTATCTTTATGTATATTTATGAATTAGACATATCACAGAAAAAAATTAATTACCATACCTAAATTTTAGCTACAATATTTTGAGTTTAGTAGAAAATTTCCCGTTAAAATAATACCAATTAAATTTCAGGTATAAAATGTAGGAACACGTAAAATTTTTAGCTACGGTAGCTAATATTTTTTTTTTCGTGTATATTTGTTCTATCAATTTTTTGAAGTGCAAAGTTATTGACTTTCTCTAATAATGACCGCGCGGAATATAATATAATTTACTCTTTGTGCGAATAACTGAAACGTTTGATGAATAATTTTTTTTTAATAAAATATTGCGCCGCGCTTGGAAAACAAATTGATTGGCTCGTTTCTGTCGAGTAAAATTGAATTTTAACGCGCTTCGATGAGAGAGAGATTCGATCGAAGGATGCTCAAGAACGGTATGAGCGACGCGTCATCGAATATCTACTGAATATCAACGAAATTCTGTGGCAAATAAAAGTTTTCCTATATTTGGAGAGGGGTTTGCGCCCCGATAATCCCGCGATAATGGATACGCAAATAGCGCGTATGTACGTGGAACGCTTCAACATCCGTCGCGATCGATTGAGCGTTCGCTGATAATGTCGACCCGAGTGAAAAAAATCTCGGATGTGTGAATCCCTTGGAGAGTATTTACTGGCGTCTCGACATATATATTTATTAGGGCGGAGGATCGACGGAAGATATATTTTCGCTCTCGGGACGGAAAACGCGGGCGGGTTATCTCGTGTCTTGTTGTTACACGTGGCAACCCTTGGGATTATTTAGCGTTTACCGTATACACGCGCCGCATTGCAAAAAGCCTACTTACGCTATACAGCTGCACAACGGTCGGCTTTGATGTATCCATGGAAACAACCGCGATAACCATTATCGATCGTATATCGGCCACTTTCAGCAGAGCCCTCGCGACATTAAATTAATGTTATCGAAAATTTAGGACAGCGACACTTTGCAACGCCTGACGTGCGAAATACTGGGATCTGATTTTCGATCGAAAAGCTGAAAATCAATCTGTCGTCGACTTTGCGGATCTTCCTTGCCGCCGATAACATTTAAATGTCATTCATTTCCACGAACACCCTACTATGAGCAAGACAATTTAATAATTATTGTTAAACAAGTTGAGAATATCCGGATATAACGAGTTTATAATGTTCAATACTTTGAGGAAATATTTTTTAATAATTTTAACGACTGGAGCGATTTTTTAATCTATTTTGATCATTGATGATTATAAAAAAATCATTACGCCTATTGTATTATTTAAAATTATATATGTATAAAGCACAGTAGGATTTAATATATCTCTCTAATATAGAAAGAAAAGCAAATAATAAAATTGACATTATTAAATTTGGCATTATTATTTATTCAATTTATCTATATTTCAAAGAGATCAACAGAATTATTTAATGATCACATAAACTATATTTATATTGTCACTGATATATAATTATTGAATTTAATATTTTTAATAATATATATTTGTATTTTGTTTATGATTTTATCATAAATTATGTTGCTATACATTTTTGAATTATCGTTTTATAAAAAGTAAGATTAGTTTGTTCACGGAGGACCAATCGTGAAGTAAATCTCTTTGTTTTCGAGGTGCAAACAATATTTTATTTTTACACACGAATCCGTTTTTATCGAATCCTCTTATCGCAAATTCGTATATTTTTTTCACACGTACGTTTTACTATATAAAATTACCATAAATATTTGAATGATATAAATAAATTGAAATACCATTGTGTGTTCTTTAGACCACTAGACTTTATATCGAAACGGTATATACTTAAAACAGATCTGAAATCTCGTTCCATTGAATATAAATGTGGAAATAAATTTTTATTTCAGAAAAAAAAGAAAATGTTTCTGAAAAGAGATAGTCATGTGGTTACCTAAATGTTTCGGAAGAGAGAATTTTATGGAAGTACAGGAATTTGAAAAATCTGATAAATGCAAATGGTCTGCGAATATCAGGAACGAGGAAATTTTATTCTCGTCAAGGGGAAGTCCTTGAGGTTTTTGTCCATCCGGGATTTTTTTTTCATTTTGGAATTTACGGATAGGTTTAGATGATAGAGATTCTCAAATTAAATGAATTAAAAAAATTAATCTAATAATTGAAACTAATGATCCAATAAAAGATATAATATTTCATGATAAAAAATTATCTGGATAATCTGAATATCGTCGAGGTATTCCTCTTAATCTTAAAAAATGCTGAGGAAAAAATGTTAAGTTTACACCAATAAATATACAGATAAATTGGATATTTAAATAGTAATTATTTAAGGAAAATCCAGTTATTAAAGGAAATCAGTGAATAAATCTAGCAATAATTGCAAAAACAGCTCGTATAGATAAGACGTAGTGAAAATGAGCTACAACATAATAGGTGTCATGTAAAACAATATTAATAGATGAATTAGATAGTATTACTCCAGTTAAACCTATTGTAAATAAAAAAATGAATCCTATGGCCTATCAAAGGGAAGAATTATTATTAATTTTAGTTCCATGAAGTGTAGTAATTCAACTAAAAATTTTAATTCCAGTGGGGATAGCAATAATTATAGATACAAATCGCAAGTCGGAAAGCGATGACATTCTTCTAATATCCGAAAGCTCCAGGAGAGATAACTGTGATTGCGAGACACACGTAACGCAATGCAGTCTGATGCACGTGCCTTTACTTATTAATGCATTTAATTAGAAGTTCATGTTTAGCCTTCCGCGGCTCGTTTGTGCGACGACAAGAGTCGCTTCTCCTGTTTTCCCCACGTGGCATCGTACGATACGATGTTTAACTCCTCTTGCTGCTACACTATCATGGACGCGGACGCACACAGGAATTCCACTTTCGTGACGGTTCGCAATTTCAATGGCCACTCGAGAATCTAGGTTCGCGTCGTCGATCACGCTTAATGATGTCTGGAATTTATTGTGGAGCAACGTAGGTGAAGCGCGCAAAGTCGGTCTCAAATTCGTCTACGAAATTCTGTGCATATAGGTATGCAAGTTGCGTCGCAAGTTGCATAAAAATGGCAATAAATGTGTGTGTCGCGTGTTTAAAAAGAACAAAGGTAATTTTAACAGAGGATTATAAGATTCTCTGGATATTAAAATAATTTTTAATATCGAACTTTATTTCTAAAAATAAATGTTTACTCGGTACTATATATTTTTGATCCTATTTTCGGACCAGCCTCAGCATATCTATCAAATTCATGCTAACAAATAATATGAGCCATGGAGATAATAACTTAAATTTCACATAATAATTAATAAATTTCATATACGTAATAATTCATATAATAATTTTATCTAATAATTAATAAATAATTAATCATACAATTAATCATGTAAATCGTACATGCATTTTTCCAAGATAATTTTCTTCTGGAAAGGTTGCACATAGCAATTGGACTGTGTTAATAAAATTAGTTTCCGGTTCGACGAATTATGGAGAACAAGTTCCGCAAATGAAGACTTTAATTCCGCGACTGTGTTATTTGTAGATCTTCGTACATCGTTCGGCACGAGGCGAGAATTATTATCTCAGATATTGTGGATAAGAACGCGTGTGTCAGAGGGTAATAACAATTTAGAATCCTATTCAAATCCCTTCGCCACGCGTTTTAAATGTTAAATTTATCGAGGGAGGCCAGAGCAAGAGAACGTGGTAAATTTTTATTGTCCGTTCTCAAATAACGTGTGGGCGTGTGTAACAGCGGCATTTAGCTTTGCTCTGTGTTTCACCGTCTCGTATATCTCTTCTTTTATCTTTTTTATGGTATATTATCTTTTTTTCCAACATTTTATACGTGGGTTTCAGTTCAGTTTTCGTCGCATCATCCTGATGAAATAGCAGGAAAAACTTCCGCGGAATTTTCCCATAATGAGAAATGTGAATATTTTGTTTCGTCGAAATATGGTTTGCAAAGCCTATTCCCTCTCGATAATAATCGGTCGAAACTAAGTTTACGATCAATACAAAACCAATCTCTGATGAATTATACCAACACTCGTCATATCAAAATTTTTTTTATTCGTCTATTATTTATGGAAAATCTAATCGTGCGATGTATCTCAATATCGTATAAATCCGATCTATTATATAAAATATTTAAAATTTTTATCAAAAGAGCATCTCGGAAACCCTTTTAATGATAGATCCCTTAGTTTCTTTGAAGTAAATTTTTCCTCGGGCTATAATATCGAAGAACAAGTGTTTATAATATATTATTATAATATAATTATTTAACTATTAATTTTACAATATATAATATAATTTATATTTAATAATTGCAATTTTTTCAAACTTTTGCATCATGTGTATATATCGTAACTAAAACTAAAGTTAAAATATTTTGTAAAAATAAACTTCGCAAATAAAAGTAACTCAAAGACGTAACTTTGTTATTCCCAAAAGTTTAATTCTTTAAAAACTTCATGATTAAAAATTAATTAATGTTTCGAGAAAAAACTAAAAAGTCTATCATTAGAACCTGCATAATCCAACGATATCCTTTTAAAATATGATGAAATATATATACAGATATTGTGAAGTTTGAATTAACTTTGTCTCTATTTTTTCATGTCTCGCAAATGCGTAGGTATTATCTCCTCTCTCATTATTTCACTTAATTCACCCTAATTCACTTTTAATTTTCTACCGCCCATTCATCTTTTATTATCCACCGCCAATTTACCTTTAATTTCCCACCGTTATAAATTCCTTATAAAAACGAGATCTTTCTTTCGTTTCATCATTGTTTCTCTTAGTACGTATCTGATGTCTGAAGATGTAGTTCTAAATATAGGACAACGGTTAATTAGCGCGAAATAACAGCCTTTTCAATTAAACTTCGCAAACAGTAGCAGCAGCTGGTTGATGCAATATATCGTCTATCTATTCTCATTTATCTCTTCTGTGGATAAAATTCCTGCGCAGTTTCACATGCTGAAGTCTCGCGGCTCTTAATTATTCAAAGCCTCGAAACCCCATTCATACTTCGAAGCTGTCGAACGCGTTTTATCTGCATCGCGGCGATGCATCGCGCATTTCGACTTTCTCTCCTTCTCTGCTCGCGAAAGAAGAGAAAAGAGAGAAAAAAGCGCGACGGTAGCGGAGATAGGCTCGATGCATTGTCTTCACGGCCCAGAAAGTCTTTCCTTGCCTCGGCGAACTCTCGACAGGGTCACCGATCTGTGAATAGGATCTCGCAACCCTCAACCTCTTATCACCAGTCTTTCTTTCTCTCTTTCATACACATATACACAGACACACACTCCCTGTTTGCCTCTCTCTCTCTCTCTCCTTCTCTTTTAGGGCTGCTGATACGGAGAAGTGACCAGTCAGGCTCTATCGAGAGTCCGATCGATACCAATCACCGAGGTGAGTGCGACACCCTGTCACCTGCTCGATTGCGCAGGTGGGTGTGTGCATTATGTGCTCTCGGAATGTACACTGACGTATGGTTGTGCGTTCAGATAAATTATTATACTTGTGTAGGTAGATACGTCGTGACTAAACCTCGAAATTCGGCTAATGGAGGAACGACGAATGAAGGGAAAATGGCTCTACGAAGCCTGATGGAGGATTAACTTCTTAATGCATTATCTGTGTTTCTTCTCCGTTGTATATAAGTTTTCTTAAGGCTCGGATCCTATAAAATGACGGAAGGAAAATTTCGCGGGATAATTGACTCGAAAATAACCGTGAAACTTTATTGGACATTGTATGTCGCACGTTGCCAACCCTCTTTCAGGCGCAATTAATCGAAAAGCGGTTGGGAAGAAGAGAAAGGTCTACAACTTTGTTGAGAGTTCAGAGGAAATTCCGCGAACCGAGCTTCAAAGGTTTCGACGATGAAACTGATGAACAAAGGTTGTGTTGTGTTAAGAAGTCTTTCACACACACGCACACACACACACACACACACACACACACACACACACACACATAAACATACATATTGTAATTTGCAATAAAATATAACGTTGGTGTCAAACCTTGACATCTCGAAAGATACCGAAGAATTAAAAATCAATTTTCTGTACGTCTTTGAGAATTCGCGAATAATAATTTATGGAAATAGGGAACGATTATCACTTTCTTTCCCTATTTTTCCGTCTCTCTCTCTCTCTCTCTCTCTCTCTCTTCCATCATCATCGACCTAACTAATTTCACGAATTCGAGAAGTATTTCGCAATCGGCAAAATTACGGAGACGGAAGGGAATAAAATGTTCCACGACAAGTTTGAAACAGTCACCTGTGAGCGAGACTCGGTTTAATTAATCAGTTTAATCAGTTTAATCGAAGTAAAATGCGTTCCTTATCACTACCAGCCGCGACTTAAGGCGACGACGTGCCACGATTAACTGCAACCGAATGTTATCGATGTTCGCCGGAGGCTGTTGTTCTTATCAGAAGCTCTGTTTTGCCACCGTTCGTCCTCCACGTGTTCTATCGATCCCCTCATAGGATAGGAAACCTCCCTCCTCTCGAAACCGTGAAGTCAAGTTGCGCTCGAATATTTCGCCTCGATATATCCAATTTTTTATTTTTATTCTCAGCGGGAAATTATAGGAAATAGTCTTTTCAGTGAATATTTTTCATTAATTAATGTAAAGTACTGTACGTGCAAATTTCCGGCATTTTCGTATATTAAAAATCTTTTTGATATCAAATATTTTTCTCATCTTTTTCATCTCCGATCGTAGAAAATTTTTCAAGCTCTTCCTATAAAGAAAAATTCTTTGAGAAATTGAAGCGGCAATAAGTGTAGTTATATTTAATAACTGTACGTATTTCCTGGAAAGGAAACAATGGTTATTGTCTCGTAATAATTATTTTACCGTGCAATTATTACTTTACCTCGTCGTAGACCGCAGTTTTGTTTGAATATCGGTTACTTTACATGTCTCTAACGTTGAGATACCGCGAGAACGTGTGCGAGACCTCAGCAACATTGAACATGTTTCGTATAAGCTAATTAATTCCATAACTCGATCTCTCTTAGGGAATTTAGGAAACTATCGACATTGGATAATATAGTTGCTTGTTCGTAGCCGCGCTGATATTTAACCCGTCCGTTGCAGCTGCACGAAATATTTGTGGATTGTTGCATATATCATCTCGGTCACATCCCTGAATTTCTCGTTAGGAGAATGGCCTTTTACGGTCATACTAGGGTAAACGCATATATTACGCAAACAATCGATCTGACAAATCCTCGAGATTACACGCCGAAGGCCATATCGAGAATTGTATGTCCACGTAAAACATTCAAATTGAAATCCGCTCGAATGTTAGAGACCGACTCTGGATTTTACTTCGGCTTTCAGAAAGCGAAGAGACTGGAAGACATTAAAGCGAGACGTTTTCATTAAAAGTATAATCCTGAGGGAAATATGTAATTTGGCGAAGGAAAGAGATTTCGCGTCTCTTTCAAAATATATTTCGTGCAAAAAAAAGTTTTTCATATAAAGATACGAGATTCATCTCGCGAGAGAGAACGTCTCTTTTCATGCTGATGGAGCCTCCGCGGAAGCCTAGTTCCTATTTCGCGAAAATTTACATCGGGATCGTTTATCAACCCCTCGCAGACGGCCGCACTTATTCGTACACGTCGAATTACGCTGAAAAAGACACCGAGATCTTGAAGAGACGACGAGCGAGTTCCTCGTTGCCGAGGACCTTCAATTATTCTTCCCCTCCCAGATCCTTCAACTAAATGAGCTTTTTAATAAATGCAAAGCGTACGTCCTTTGCGAGACAAAAAAAAAGAATAGATACGGATTTTTTCTTACTTACAATCCGAGATTGGAGACTATTCTTATGGCGGATGAAAAACGCTATTCGTATAGAATTTTTTTCAGCAAATCCGCTTGAAAAAAAAAAATTTCTTCCGCGAGCAGATAAAGTTCGCGCGATCGAGGATTGAGGAAGAACATTTTCTAATCGGGTTAGGGTATATTCAAGAGATAGTTAAGATATTCAATCTCTCTCCATTTCTTTCCATTTTCTTTTATCCCTTCCCTTGTTCCTTATCATCATCGTTTACATCACGTCGGATCGTCTATTAGTGATAAAGAATTGCATCTTTCTTCCTCCGTCTCCCTTTTGAATTTACAACGCATTCATTCTGAGCTTTATTCTTGGATTTTTCTATCAGCACACGTTCCGCAAACGAGTTTTAGGTAGATAAAATTACTCCTCATGTCCTCTCTCATTCGCGTGACACAAACCCGAAGTAATTTCGCGCGACTCTAATCGAAAGGAGAATAATTCTAGCAATCTTGTTATCGCGTTCTCTTCAATTATGTTCGGAAAATTATGGTACTACGTATGGGGATTGGCGTTTCGCTTAAAACATTTAAATATAACATTTTTAAAATTAAAATTATAATGTAAATTATGTCATCACACTTTACAATTAATGTAAATTAAACGTTCCCGTTTGTTACGCAGAAGGGAAACTTACAAATCACGATATTAAAACTTTCGTGGTAGCCTTATCTCTATTTTTCTCCCTTTATCTCTCTCTCTTTCCCTCTCGGGTTTCCAAATTACTGTAAAACGTCATTTCACTTTGACAAATTCAGCGGTGGATTCAGCGAATGAGAAGCGGGAGGCCGATCACTTTTACGACATTACCGCGAAATCTACCTGCTCTCGGACGAGTTTTAGGGTGAATCACGTTTGCGCAGGTCCGATAAGAGGCGCCGAGGCCAGAACGATGTGCAACAACCATGCGAGCTTTAGTTTTCACCAGGCCCTCGACGCGAAAAAGGGGTTGCTCCAGGTTCGGGACAGGTTCTGTTCACAGTTCTGTTTCCAGAGAACAAATATACGTCTCGTAGCGCGAACTGTTTCGTTTAACTGAGGATTCGATAATGCACCCCGATTGTAGGAGATCGCGTTGCGGGAATATATCGACGCGAAATCGAGCAATTAAACGAGAATAAAAGCGTGAAAGCGGCGTTTGCATCGTTATTAGAAAAGGGCGGGCTGCTTTACATTTTACTTTCAGCTTCGAAATCGCTTCGTGCTTCGTTAAATTCCTATAAATGATGCGCGCGCTTTTATTCGACCCGTTAGGTTCGAATAGATTGAAAATTAAATCTCGGACAGAAAATTAAACTGCCCCTTGAAATTTGCGAAAAAAATTTGGTAGTGTTGGGGAGAGTTCGTCGATGATCGACGATCATTTGTTAAATCTCTCTTAGCTGACGCTGAGTTTTCAAAAATTCCACGAGAGAGACCACGTGAGAAGTGCACGAATGGAGGGAAAAACTTAGCGGGTTTGTGTGTGAGGGTAAATATAATCGCCAGCGCGATTAATGACGACTTGCGAGGTTCCTGGGGCCTGTATGGCAACGTCCGCGGTGTCGGATCATCATGAAACCGTCGAGAAAGCATCCCCTGACGTTTCCGAGCGCATTTCCATGAATGCCTGCCCGCCGAGCAGCTTTCCAGACAAGTTTCAAGATTTCTTCGCGACCCTCACCGAGGACGGGGACGACTTACCCAGTATGCTCGAGAACAAGCTAATACCGAGGTAATTAACAGCATAATATAATATAATTGCGCGCGAAATTTAATGCAGCAGTATATACTTATAAATTCTTGGAAAAGAACTTTGGAAATTATCCTGCGAAAAAAAATAAATTTGTGAGGTATTTTTCAGTTAAAGTAATAATGCTCTTCGAGGAAGAGCATTATTCAAGTGTATATATTAATTTCAAAAAACCAGAGACTCGAAAAATCGCGAAATACAAAATTGAAACCTCTGTAAATTTATTTTTAGTTAATAACACAACAGAAAGGATATTAAAATATATTTGTTGAAATGTGCGAGAGATAGAGATAGAGATAGAGAGAGAGAGAGAGAAAGAGAAAAAAACGAGATTAATTAAGTGCTAAACATAGAATTCCATGTTTCGCCGATTGTTTCAGTATAATTGAATAACTATAAATAGACGCACGCAGATACTGATCAAATCCAGGGTAATGCGATTAAATCGTAATCGATGCTGCGGATATAACTTTCGTAGCAAATGATTTACAGCAGTTACAGCGGAGTTTACTTATCGCGGTTCTCCAATCCCAATACGGGCACGTTATTGTAAAATTGCGATGCGATCAAAGGTGCAACTGCTCGTTACGGTTTTGACGGATTCCGGCAAAGCGGAAAAATTGCACAGCAATGCTATTCGCGCGCGAAGCAAAGGTATGAAACTCGATCCGGCGATTTTCTCTCGAAATGACATTTCTCGATTCGAAGGATTATCCGAGCAGTTACGCTCCCCATCGTATTCGAGTTTGCGGCATGTGACGAACGTGCGTGAGAAGTGTCTTTGGCATTGGTTGAAGCCATTTGGGATTCTCGCAATCGGATTAGGGGTTGAATCGCGGACTCGATTCCAACGCTACCTTCCGTGCTTGCCGAAACAATCGACTTAAAGTTTAGTAGGGACAAAGGGGCAATGTCTCTTGATAGAAATGCGATAGAGAAAGCTAATGGCTCGTATAAAGGAGGAGAAATCACATGATCAGCTGATCAGCTGATCATATATATATATATATATATATATATATATATATAAATACGCTCGAGCTGATTAGCTGATCATGAGTATCAAGAGGTGAAACATTTCCAATTTTCCTAAATAATATATATATAGGTATATATATATAATAAAATTGGAAAATTGGAAATGTTATATATATATATATATTATTTAGGAAAATTGGAAATGTTATATATATATTATTTAAGAAAATTGGAAATGTTTCGCCTCTTGGTACTCGACAGAAATGCGATAAAGAAAGTTAAAAGCTCATATATATATATATAAAGGAGAAGGATACACCCTTAAGCATACATATCTCGAAGACGTTCAGAGAATATCTGAGGATGTTCGAATGTCCTCTAGATATCATCTGAATATCCTCAGAATATCTTTCGGCTATGTTGGGGATATAATCAGTTGATCAGTTCGAGCGTACCTATATATATATTATTTAAGAAAATGGAAAATGTTTCGCAGAAAGTTGGACGGCTCGAACGTCGACGGGAAAAATCGACGGTGGAACAAGAGAACCGTCCAGAGACGGAGCAGCGAGGTGGAAGTTCGCCCTCACCAGGGAACGTTGTCCGGATCTCAGGGTCACAGCTGCACGGACGGACTGAAATCGCCGATCCCCTCCAGACGAAGAAGCTCTAGCATCGCGGTCGCCCGACCCACGCCGGATCTGCACAGGTTTACCTCGTTTGTTTTCTCCTCGTTAAAGTGATTAATCGATTATTCGCGTCGAGCGATTATCATTACGTAAACTCCTCCCGCGGCGTATCGTAACTCCGGTATAAACGTCGTCGTCCGTTCGGTCAAAATTAATCTGTCAAAACCGACGCGTCGCTCGAAATGTAAATTGGATCGAAGGGAGAAATTTACGGTATAACGCGCACCCGCACGTTTTCGCGTGTCCCGTCACGTGTCACACGATTATTCGAGATATGTACATCTATTTTCGTCGCACGTTCCAGGTTTCTGCAAGCGGAGACCGTACCTTGGGGTCATCTGTCACCCTCGTCCAGAAGCCCAACCAGAACACCCACGATAAGTCCCGGGGCCGTGTCTTCCACTTCGCATCTGAGCGCGAACGCGAGTCCCAGTCCGACGAGTCCTTCCGGTCCAACTTCCGGGACTCGCGGACCCAGGCAATATCGCAACAGGACGAGCAGCATGCCGGCGGTGCCCCGTCACAGGGTAAGTGTGAGAGAAAGAGATAATAAATAGTATCAAGAAATGATATATAAATGGTGCAAAGGGCTCTTTGAAAAATTTCCTCTAGGGAAAGATCTCCTTCCGTGTCTTTTGCAAAATATGGCTATCTCTATCTTGCGGTAAGATTAATTTATGATCCGCGAGGAGAGATGATTTGGCAGAAGAGAAACACGTTACGTACACAATGAACTTTAATGATGAGGCGGATCGATATATAGCGTCGGCTGCGAAACTGAATTAATTTCCTCGGTTATTGTTGACGCGATACCTCAAAATGCGTTGCTAACTCCCGCCTCGCGAAAAAGCCTCCTCTTTCTCATCTACTACGACGGTGACGCTTCGCGCGTGTATGGCGTATGCAAAAATCAAATCGAATGCGTCGGGTGTGCGAAGTGGTACGGAGAGCACAATAGCGACGGAAATATCGCGACTGTCATTCTTCCTGAATTTCCCCCGGTTCTCGCGCGAAACGTGAAATGGAAAATCGCGAGGCGACACGACAGGACACGGGGATGTACAGACTGCTATCGCGAGAAATTATCGCTAGTTTCGCGTCACTAATTAAACCCGGGCTTAAACCGGGATCTATAATTCACGCCGCGAAACTCGCGACGGAATTCGAATCACTAATTTTATGTCGCGCGAGATATATATATATATATACAAAATATTTTTGAAGAAATTAAATACACACACACACACATATATATATATATGTAAAATCGAGATATCTTAGGATACGACACACAAAATTACAAATTACAAATAAAATTCAATCTTGAATTTTGTTACAAATTATAGATAATTTAAACGCGGGCTAATTATTTTTTTTCATTGCTGAAAATTGCTGCATTTAAACTGTCTACTGGCTTTGAAATTAAATACCGTGTCAATCCGTGAATTTGTAATTATCGCAGGAAAGTTTCGCAAAAACAAATCAGTAACTTGCTTTAAATTTTGAATTAAATTAAAAAAAAAAAGGTATCATTATTTATTTGTCATCCTCTCAAGAGAGAAAGAGAGAAAACCTTGTTTCTATCGATTTTTATATATAACGTACAATCCTTATATAAAATAAAAGGTACACGATTATACATCCCTTTACATGTACATACATACATACATCTAGTCGATCTAATCCTCGTTGAAATTTTGCGGCGAGGGACAACGTCATGCAGAGACAATACGAGGATGGTATTGCCGCGCAAAATCTGTCGAGGATTTTGCGAGCTTAAGCCTCCACGTTGAGCGCCAATCCGACTCTGTGTCCACCTCTGGTAATATTCGCGCAATCGATGTTGAATGAAAGAATTAACGCCACTCCGTCGTTTAGCTTCTGGAGAAGACTCGTTGCCAATTGTAAATCGGTGTTGAATTTAAATCGCAAAGTCGATCTGTCGTCGATTTTACATTTCGCTGCGGCACCGACAGTCCACTTTTGCACGTCGCCTCGTTTCGCGTATATCCCATTTGTCGCGACATCCAAGTCAGGATTTACTGAAGGACAGAAACGAATTGGTGGAAACAGGATTCGCGAATGTACTCGTATATATATAGATCGAGATTGTAGACGTATTTTACGACGCGTATAATTTTCGCGGTGCTACCTATACATTAAAAAAATAGTTAGACCCTCTCAAACAATCTCTCTTAAATTGAATCAGTAAAAATGATCGAAGCGATGACACAGATTTGATCGATGATGAAGATTTCACTAGACATGTATTTCATTGATCTTCAGTGATACACTCACATTTTGCTCTTATTTGTTTTATATTTCATTTATTTATTTATTAGGAAAGCAAAAATCAGGATAATCATATTTATTTACGAGATTAACTTTTAAAATGTTTTCTATTTGTTTTGGATTGCAATTTTTTGAGATGAGCGCTCACGCAAATTTGAATTAAAATATGTATGACCAGTATTTAAATTGAGAACTGCATATATGTTATATATTTTTTTTATTACATTTTAAAAATGCAATAAATTCATAAAAAATGAACAAGATTTTTGCGTCAAAAATTCTAATGTTTTTTTAATACATAATAGCTATAAATTCATCTCATACATAATATATTATAACATTATTTTCAAATATTACTAATTGACACAGTCACTAATTAGTTCTTTCATGAAACATTTGCAAAGCTTGCAACACTTTAACATAATCATTCGCTATACTTTTTATAATATACTAATTTGATTTAAGAGAGATTAATTAAATTTTCTGAAACGCAATTTTAAACAAGATTGTTCATGTGCAAAACTACGTGGTTTTTTCGCTAGTATAATAATATTAGCTTACACATCGAGCTTTGTTATCACGTGGTACTGTCACAAACCACTCCCTCCTTTTGTATACGTATATTAATACCACTAATTGTCGCCTTTACTCGACCGAGGAAATTGATAACGCCGACGCGACACACGTCGATATATGTTAAACGATTTGTATTACACGACCATATCCCGCTTATCTGAATGCGAAATGGCAGGATCTCATTACAGTGTTCACTTGAACGAGACACGTTTAACTCCCATTACTTAGCACGCGAGAGGTAATCTAGCGACGCTGCTCGTCGACGAGACGCGACCGCATGTAAAATAAGATGCGGTTTTGTAAAAGAAAGCATTATTATTGAAATATAGGGTGAAATTGCTTCGTATATTCTCTCTCCCTTTCCCTCGAAAGGGTATTATTTTTCATACCGGCGACACAACGTAGAGCAGTTTTGCACACAATAGAGAGCGGAGTTTATTTCGCAGAGTTCCGTAAGAATAAATATTGTATTACGGATCTGTCGTTTACCTTTATACCACACGGAGAGCCCGTACTCGTGTGGTACGCAAGTGCATCGAAAATGCAAGTCAACATCGGCGCAACCGTAAGCCAGACCGACGTCATTCTTCGTCACTTTGTTCAGGGCTGTGTCGTAGCCGGCTCGATAACCCAAGAAGAGATCCCTGCATTTCACCACCACTGTCCCGAGCAAACTGGTGCCCGAATTTAGATCGTTAGCTGGAAATTCGGTAATTCGCACGATTTGACACTTGATATATTAACGCGATTACACGGATAATTGACAAGCAAACGTCCCCAACTCACAGGGAAATTCAACAATGTTGTGGAAATACATAGAGAGCAGTTTCAATAAGAAATTTGCGCTATTTCTGTTTGCTGTCTCTCATTCACTCTGACGTGACGAAATAAATCACGTAAAATTGACGGATTTTTTTGAGGTCTCTTATTTTAGTATAATTACTCGTAAATTTATATCGCTTTCAAAGTTATTTTCTTTCATAAGACTTTGCGTTTTTAATATAACTGTCAATTACTTAAAATTATTTATATATTGTTTTTTAGACAATCGATGACTATATTAAAAGTCACAAAACTATAATTAGAAGTATAAATGTTCCTCTAAAGTCTTTTTATATCTCCTCTCATTGGAAAACAACAAAATAAAAATGTAAGATAGCCTAGTTGTCGAGAATTTATTTCATCTCCTCAAAGTAAATTCGGACAAACCAAAATAAGAGATATATATTTATCAAAAGATGCTCTCTGTGTATTTTCCAAATGTTATAATATTTTCAATTTTTGAATCGACGACTTTTTCTTGTCAAATGTTGTTTAGACGTAAATATAAAATTATTTATTTCACGCGAATTATATATATATATATATATATATATATAAACGGTACATCAAAGCAGTTGCTCTATTTTATTAAATTATTTCTCTATTTCATTCGATATGCTTGTAAAAACCTGTATTTGAATGGCTAAAATTTTTGATTCTTTCCCTTGTATACATCGAGGGATTTATTTTATTCCTATTTTATCTCTTTGAAATTTGAAACGAAAGTTTTTGTATTGTATCGATAAAACGCAATCTCGCTCCGTCGCTGTACCAAAGCTCCCGAAAATACTTGTACCGGTGGCTCACAAAAACCCATGTTTGCTGGAAATCCGTCGTTTGTGGGTAAACATTCAGTATACCAATGAGATATATACATTATATCGCTCTGCGTTTCCGCAATATTAGTTAGAAAGAAGTTTACCGATGCGCGCGCGCATGATTTAGAAATTGTTTATCGAATTTTCTCCCTCGAATGCAATTACGGAAATATGCGGTATAATGGTATTATAAAAAGAAAGACAGGAGAGAGAAAGTGAAATTAATTACCCGAGGACAAAAGCTAACGAAACAATGTTCCGATCAATATGTGTGCGCGATCTCTTTTATACATTACATTTCCATATATCCATCGTTGCAGAAAATGTCAGAGGAAAATCGTCGAATGCGAGTGCATGTGCATGTTGAGATAATGAACCAAATGCAGGGAAAAAGGAGGAAAATGATGGGGATATACTCGATGTTCCGGTAATTTTTATACTCTCGATATTAAATGTTTGACCATCCGGATATTAATTACGATAATGCTTTTCATACTTTGCAAAATTAGAGATTAATCTAGATTCATGTGTATAATGATGCACGTGTTATTTTATATATAATATGTAATGTAATGTAATGTTAATGTATATATATTTTATGATATTATCTCACAATATTATATTGTGTAAATGTATTAAAAATATGCGTGATTCACAAAAGATTCTTGTTAAAAAATGATGACATGGTACATTGCATTATTTTTCTTTCTTTTTTTAAAGAGGTCGGTTTAGATACCACAATATATCAGTCTTTTTCATCCCTTATAGATGAGGTAATATGTGAAGTCCTTTATTTACATAGCGTTCAAACAACGACCTAACCGTATCTGTTATCCCGCAAACCTTATAAATAGAGAATGAATTTGTTCCGCAAATTTTTTTGCCGCTTCATATAATAAAACCTGGAAATTTCTACGAATATTGTTGATGAAACAATTAACCTTTCAATCCTTCCCAGAAAAAGGTGACGATATTTACCTCCGAGAAAAGCGAAGGAATAAATATCTCCACCGCGGAATAAATTCCGTCGAACGTAAAATTAATTTTATAAATTGAATTGGAATTATGTATATGAACTGACAGATCTCGCAGCGTGCGTTGATCCTCTCGTTGGCGAATTTCGAGCCGACCTTCACGCTTTTCGCGGACGTCTGCGGATTGTAAGCGCATTCGGAGAGTAAATCAACACCCTTCATTAGCAGCCCGTTAAACTCGTATCCTAGAAAAAGCATGCCCTCGGTCGTCCATTTCAACAGCAGAGCTCCGGCGTCCGCCTTGTACTTCGTCTCCATTAAACCGCTTAACTGTGTCATCAATTCATTGTGAATAAATTATCTAATTTTCTCTTTCCGCGGCGCTTATATTATATTTCACCCGAGCGATATCAGTTTTCAAGATTATTCGAGTGTTCGATTAATGCCACTTTGAATAAATTGTTTTAATTCGATTTTTAATCGCGCTATATTTGAGAGGAAAAAAAAATATATATATATTTATTTATTTATTAAACCTATTAACGTTGAGGTACAAAATAGCTATTTTATGAATATTAAAAAAAATTGTTATATGCATATAAATTATAAATACAATATAATAAAGAACCATCGCTTTTTTCCCGCTTTTAAGGGAGCACTCGCCACGTGTTCGAACTCACTCAGTTATATATGCATAATATTGCTCGCATAATCCGATGTATAATTAAAAGCAAATATTGCCGCATATGAAATAGTTGATTCAGCTATATTTTCTCGCAAAATTTTTCACGAGATTTTACACGTACATTATTTCCACGAACAATCGACGAAATAATAAGTAAATATATGAGAGATAATACTATATATTATTATACACAGTAATATATTGATCTGTTTTTCTTTTGAGTTCCGGGAAAGAAATTCATTGCTCCGTAAAGTTAAATTTAAAAGTCGATGAGGATAATACGCCATCTTCTTCGTCATCTTTTTATTCGAAATGACAAGAAGCTTACCTTTGATGCCTCGAAATTCAAAGTTGTGTCACTCGTCATCTCGAATCTCTTATCGGATTTAGTCTTGACACTGAACTTGATAAGGCCTTTTCCTTGATGATAAGCCGTTTCGAAAACGTCCCTCGCGTTTTTTCCGAGGTCAGCGAAACTTGGCACTTCCATCACGAATTCAGGAATGTTGTGAAATAAATGGTCTGTTTGCTTCTATATGTATAGAATTTTCTCTCTCCTGCTAATTAATAGAATATAACATAATGTCTAAATGTAAAAGTTTTTTCCTCCTCGACTTTCTCTCTCAATACACCGCAATTATAGGGTATGTGCGTAATCAGTCAAACTTTTAAGTTTTTAATCTGTCTTGAAAAATTATTGTTTTATACTCTCCATTATTTACCCTCAAATTATTAATCACTCAAGATTAATGCGGTATATTTTACCCCGTAATCCTTTTTTGATTTGCTATTCCATCTATATAAATCGGGATAACCAATTTGGGTCATCTCGGAATTTTTTTTCTTCGTAATGTCTATCGAAACGTATACCTTTTCGTCTTGTTGGTCGATCTCAGCAGATTGCAGCTCCGATGTAATTCGAACTGATGACACACGCGAGAATTCCTCGACATGACGAAAACATGATCAATGTCAATTGCTCGAATGGGATTCGAGTAGACTGATTAATCTCGCGATTTTTATATTTTTTAAGGAAATACGATACGAGGGAGATGCTTTATTCACTCTTCATTATGAGAGTCGTCAGAATAACGAAGTGAACTTGATTGAGGAAGGAAGTGAGGCACATTATCGGCCTCGAATTATCGATGAATACAGATCGAGGCACTAATCTCTATATACAATAACTGGATATAATATAAAAAAAAGTATATGATTAATTGAAAGTTGTGAGCTCTATTTACAAATGCGTTTGACATTTTATTGACAATTATTTTCAAATTTAGTTATATGTATAAGCGATAAATTTTCTCATTGAATCCGAAAATATTAGTAATATTAATAATGAAAATATTCATCATGTCAAAAGAAACACATTTGTAGCTAGAGTCCACAATTGTCCATTAGTCACACGTTTTTTGTTCTATTCCAGTTATATCCAGAGTTATACATAGAGATGAGTGGGATCGAGGGTAATACGGTGCGTTCGTATACATATATACACATATGTATATATGTATATATTATATAGGGTAAAGCTGAATCCTGAATGATGCGACGAACGATGTCATCGAGCAACGCTTGCATCGATCAACGGGAGAACGCGTTAGGATTCGCTCTGACCTTAATAAAGAGAGTCGGACGCGTATTTTTGCCATCTTTCCGCTTCTCGCTTCGCAAAAACGACAAATAATCGGTGCACGTTGATGGCGCAAGGCCGTTCAATTGCAATTTGCAATTTACCGAGCTGTATACTTCGATTTACATATTGATTTTATTTAATTTCATCAAAAATGCGAGAAATAGAATCGCGTGTACAATATATCATATATAACATAGCCTGTTGATTATTTATCGATAACGTTCGATTGAATTATTTATTTCCTGTGCAAATATAAAATTACCCTACAAAATCATCCCTCAAAAAGTTGATAATAGTATCAATCATGTATTATTACAGAGAATAAATATCTGAAATTAATAAGTACTAAGGAATGTGCGAGAGCAATAATTTTTTTTCAATTTAAAATATGTGAGGTTACTATTTTTTTCGACCAAAAACCGGTATGTAATTTGAATGTTCCTTTATTAATTAAAACACAACAAAATCGCGTGTACAATATCATATGTAACATAGCCTGTTGATTATTTATCGGTAACGTTCGATTGAATTATTTATTTCCTGTGCAAATATAAAACTACCCTACAAAATCGTCCCTCAAAAAGTTGATAATAGTATCTCAATCATGTATTATTACAGAGAGAATAAATATCTAAAATTAATAAGTACTAAGGAATGTGCGAGAGCAATAATTTTTTTTCAATTTAAAATATGTGAAGTTACTATTTTTTTCGACCAAAAACCGGCATGTACAATAATTTGAATGTTTCTTTATTAATTAAAACACAACGTTTCGACTATTGAATTTTTGGTCTTTATCAAGTGTTTTTTAATAACAAGCCATTTGCTTGCTATTATAAAAACACTTGATAAGGACCAAAAAATTTAATAATCGAAGCGTTGTGTTTTAATTAATAAAGGAACTTGAATTCTCTACTGGCGATTAAATATTATTTACTGTTATTAAAATAATGTTTTAATCGCTGAAGAATTTGTGCGTGTATCTCCAGGAATCGATATGAAGTAGATGTTCGTTTTACACGCTGGAAAGAATTAAGTGAATTGATCCCGCGTAATTGTTGCTTGTTACAGCCAATGCTCGCCGAAACGAAACGCGGCGGCGCTCTGGGAGGCGAAGAGGGTGAAATCGAAGACGGGGTGGAATATTACAGGCTACGATCGTTCTCCATAACGGCGAACGGGGTCTTCAACTTGGGCGATTCGTTAAAGACACGACGTAGCAAGAGCATTAACAGCGTCACTTCGTCGACAAGTTGCAGCAGTACTCGAGAGAGCAGATTGCTCAGGTGAGGAAATACTGAACATTGTTGTACGAGCTGAGGGGCGAAAAGCGATAAGGGGTAGTTTTCGTTCATGACGTTCAGTTCCTTTCCTGCCATATTCCAACTTCTGTTGAAATTGTGTTCGACAGAAGTTTATTTTCAAAATATTAAAGCCACAATAAAATGATGATTAACTTCAAAAAGTTTGATATAAAAACAATACATATTTACTCTCTCTCTCTCTCTCTTAATTATACGGTGGAGTTGCAATAAAAATATTTACGCAGCTTATTCGTGATGATTGCATTCTCGACGCTTTCACAACTTGCAGTTAAAGAGAAAGCGAGATTGTTCACGAACAAAAAAATAATGATATTTTTTTTTATAATATTGCTCGAGTGACAATAACGAAGATTATAACACGCATTATTATGTATACCCGTTAGACTAAACTTCAATGAGTGAATTATAATTGGATACTTTCGTGTCTCTATGGTTACCGCATATAAATATAATATCCCAAAGTATAATGCATGTGACCGCGGAGAGGGACGTGTTGGAAAATAATCTTTCATGTGGTACACGTGCAAACGTGTATTTCCTCCTCCGCATTTTCATTTCTCCCTCGGTTCGACTCAGCTGTTTATTTTCCTCTTCGAGAGCTCTGTTGCAACGACGTTGTCGATTTAGGAAACAAAGAAAAATACGTCCGCGATGTGTTTCCCTTCACGTGACTTTACGTAAAACGACCAGTTTTTATAAAATACACGATATAAACATAAACGATTTTTATTTATTTTAATAATTTTATGTTCTTGAAAATATCATACCTGCGCACGTGTTCATATCAAAGAAATAAAAACTGGTTTTTTCTTAAATAAAAAGTTAAATAAATTTTAAGTAAAGATAGCAAATATGTACGTATATATGATATTTTTATTTACACAAAAAATGTTAACACACACGTGCATACGTAAATTAAATTATTTTAATACATGTATATTATTATTATCATTTTTTTCTTTTTACTTCATAGAAGGATTGAGAGTGTTAGGGATTATTATTATTATTATGATTATTAATATTATCAGTATTATTCTCATTATATGCTTGTCGTTCACGAGCTAAACTCCAATTTTAAGCCATGGAGAGGATGTTGATTATGTAAATCAGGAAGTACGTAAAGTTCGTAAAGGCTTCCCTTTGACACATAACATATATATGCACATATTTTTATTTGCAGAAAAAAAATATGAACTCGTGCATACGTAGATTAATTTTTTTAATACATGTATATTATTCTTATTATTTTATGTATACAGGGTGTCCGGTACTAACTAACGGACCAACGATTACAAGTGGATTCTTTGGTCAATTTGGGAACGATTTTTCCTCAGCAAAAATGTCGAAAAAGGTCATCATTTTTTACAACTTTCCAATATTTGTCATTATGTATCTTTATAACTAAGTTTCAAATTAAAATTTTATTATAGCAAACTCTACCTGAAATTAACTGAAGAATGTAATTATGTTAGACTTTTAACTCCAAAACGTTTAGTTTTCAAAAAGCCCATTTTTTTCAATCGCTTATAACTCGAAAATTATTGACTTCTCAACATTTTTGCTAAGGAAAAATCATCTTCAAATTGGCCAGAGAATCCGCCCTTAATCATTGGTCCGTTAGTTACCGGACACCTTGTATACGTCACGGGACAAACTTAGACTCGAACTCATTCGATAAGTCGTGGATGTTGATTGTGTAAATCAGGAACTATGTAAAATCATGATTTCTCTTTGATCTCGGGGGAGGTTGACATAGGCTGGAATCTAAATTTACCGTCGTTCGCAGAAACTACATCGCAGAGAGAACCTCGTCACTCTGATCTTCTCGAACGGCTATTTACGCTTCCATGTGCATCCAGGGAGTTAGATCATATTCGACCACACCATCTCTCTTCTCAACAGTTTATCACCAGCTGCTCGATTTACTCCCGACTTTCTCAGTGCTCAGGGCAAACTTCGAGTAATCGCGAACATCTAATTGCCCCACCGGGTAATTACACGCCCGGGCGTGTAAGAGGGCGGATCGGCGGATTACCGTCGTAAAGAAAAGTCACCCTCGACATCGCGGCAGTCATCGAGAGAGAGAGAGCGCAGTTTTAAAGAAAATTAAAGACTCGGCCGGCTCTACTCGCGTCTTCTCTCCTTTTTTTTTTTTTACACGCGTAATTCACCGACGCGATTTTCCACGTCGTCGAATCCCGAAAGATCGTTCTCTTTTTCACTTTTTTCTCGCACCCCCGGCGAAAAGTGGCGACGACGATCGTCGTGCGATCGTGTAATCTTGGAAAGTGCTTCTTCAAACGAGAAAAATCCCGGCTTTGGAGAGAGAGAGAGAGAGAGATGCGATACGCATCCGTGCAACTGATTGTGAGAGTGCAAAATTTCGATCGCGAAGCTGTCTCGTAAATTCTTCCGTTCCGCAGAAAAGTCGACGATTTAAACAGATAGGAAATTTGTTCAACTATTACTATTGCGCAACGCGTGACTTTGCGATCGCATTTCGTGCAGGTTTTTTATTTTCTCGTTTTGCTGTACTAAAAAAAGCAAAATTCGCATTTTACAGATCATTTTAATCGCGTTTTTTTTTTGGTCTCACTTGTCTCTCTCATCTTTCAAACCCGTTCTCCATTTCAAAAGCACACATATTACAGTACGTAGGTTTGTTCAATTTTAAATATAAAGTGTAATATATATACGATATATATATATATATATATATATATATATATAAAATAAGCTGGAAAAATACTTTAATAATGATGAGAACAACGAGGGAAGATTATTATTAAACTTCTAAAAATAAAGCAAAATTGATAGGTACAGAGAAGTTTACTTTAACTTTGTAAAAATGATGTGTAAATCTTTCTCTCCGGCGCTTTTCCCTCTCTCTGAAGTACTATAAAACTACCACGACACATTTTCGCGGCGCAGTCACATTTTTGTAGGATCACTCGACTTTCGCGTGCATCATAAAAAATATAGCGGTAACAACCGGAGATCGAGCTTAATAAAACTCGTCAGCATTTATATTTATACATACATATTATATTTATATTATATTTATACATATATATACATACATCTTTCCTGAATATAAGCCAAATTATATGTACATATACATATGAAAATTATCGTCATTTGCTTTAATGAAGGGGATTTCGACCGCTCTTGTATTTCCCGGATAATGACGAGAAATAATGCAATTGAATCACGTAATTGCACATGTGATTATATATAGAAGTATAAAGTATAAATAAAATTGCAACTTCTCCAAGAGCGCGATTCTCCCTGTCTTTTTTTTTCAATGTATTAATTCCGCGTGTGTAGATATTAATTTATCTAACTAAGTTATAAATTTTATTTCCTCCTTTTTTTGTTTCACTCTTTCTAGTTCGGTCTCGCAGCTCTCGGACATGGAAACGGGGGAGGAAGGCAACGAGAGGGAGGCTACATACAAAGTAGGCATGTTGGGTGCGTCGGAAGTCGGAAAAACCGCCCTAACTGCGCAATTCACTACGAGCGAGTACATTTGCGCTTACGACGCTTCCCTCGGTAAGAAAAACAGATTTTTCCCGCCCTTTCAACTCTCTGCTCGAACTCCAATTTCCAAATGATTAATTCGATCTCGCGACCGGAAATCGGGGTCCTGCTCGATAATAAAACGAATATCTCCAAGTCATTCGTGCGAATTAAAATCCACGGATTCGCGTTCGGGATAATAGCAATTATAAACGTTCATTTCGTTCTGGGATTCTCTTTTTGATAGCAAACTGCGTGTTAGACGAGTCTCTCTATCTCTTTCTATCTTAAAGCGGAGGAAATTGATGTCGTCTCCGCGTTTCTTCCTGCGAATATTCTCTCTCTTTCCGGAATCTCTGCGTCCGGCAGATCTCTGCGACGGCTATTTTGCGTTTAATATAATTGTAAGATCTCTCTCCACTATCTCTATCTCTTTTACTCTCGGGAGAATTACCATAAACACGATTATTCAGGACATCGCGCACGCCTTTGTGCGAGATTTGATGAGAGTTAATTAATACGAAAAATGTATCAACCATCCGCGATGTATTTACGTCAAATACATTTCCCTTTAAATATTTTGATCGCATCAAAAAACACAATTACTGGATTATATTGTCGACAAATAATTTTCTTAAACGGCTTTATACCGTCACGCTAAAATCACTTTGATACGTCAAATCGCATCTCGTTAATTTATCCTATATCTGCGCAGTTTCCAGACTGTTGCGTGTGCAATAAGTGGCCTCGTACAATATTTCTTTTGTCGATCAACAATCGCTGACAAACATATATATATATGTATATGTATTGTATGAAATTTATCCGAGAAAAAGAGAAAATTCGATTCAATATCCTTCGTGCGAGAGAGAGAGAGAGAGAGAAAGAAGGCACGCGCGACTTTCATAAGTTACATAATAAATAATAAGCGTCGAGTTTAAGCAAAGTCCGGCCGGGCTAATTAATTAGCCCGAATTATTCATTTGGAAACAATTTCGCTTGTAATAAATCGCCCATTGACGCGTTATATCTAATCTTCTCATCCCTCTCATCCTTCGCGAGAGATTCGAGAGACTCGCGATGCAAAACTTGCTCACCCGTTAAACAAACACTCATCCTCCGATGTCTTAATTAAAATTCGCCTCGTTTGCGATTCGCGTCATTGTCGCATCCTTCATCTCCAATGAGATCTCCAACGATATAAGATCTCCCTCTTTCATATCCTGTCAGAACCTAGGGATATATCCTTTCTCACGCCTCGTTTGACAGAGAAGAGCAACATTTTGCAGACACGATCTTTCGACATCGATTCGAGACACGGGAAATGCGGCTTGAGCTTTAATGCTCGAGCTTGATAGAGGTTTCTAACGCTTTGTACTTTAGGTTGAAAACGGGGGTCGGAAAAAAAATTTTTTATATATAACAATATAAAATTATATAGAAATATGTATATATAATTATACATATAATCGCAAAATGATATCTATATAAAATATATCCATACATAATTAGATAAAAATGCTTTATATAAATTTATATATATAATAAATAAGTATTTCTTCATGTATGTATATAAATATATATAATGTTTCATATATAATTTGATGATTATATATGATGAACCCTTATAATTTATATATAAATTTATATAATTATGTATAAAAATAGACATATTTCACATATAATTATGTATATAATGACATAATTATTTATATACAATTATATATAAGAAATTTCTTCCCGAGACGGATAAGCGGTTCGTCGTTGATCCGAGAAAGAAAATGGTTCGGTTGTCTTCCTTCAAGAACCTCGAAGTATACCACCGCCCATATTTCCCATCGACATTTCCGTCAGGAAGAGGTCATTCCCATGGCTTTCAACGCTGATTTGATTGAAACTGTACACGCTTATGGACCCGCGTTACGAGCCGTCGAGACGGCGATCCGCGAGAGCTCTCAAAATTGACCTCTCTTGATGTATCGATTTTTTCCTTCCGAGACTATCGAGCTTTTCCGCCGAGAGGAAACGTGTAATCGATATTTCATATATTACGAATGAGATGCACCTCTCTTTCCTCTCGATAATTCTCTTTGACCGTAGGGACTTGAATTGTAATTACTCAGCGGAGAAAGAACGATTAAACGTAACAAGTTCTGAAATTAGAACGGGGTGTCTATTCAAATCTTGTAAAAAAATTCCATGAGAGTTCTCTGATCTTCCAGGTGTTTTTCGTTTAAAATTTGAGCTAAAATAAGATTTATATAAATTGCAAAAATGTAAAATAAAAATATAAAATAAATTATTTATTAAACTTAAGAGAAGTATTTATTTTTATTTAAATATTAAGAGACCGTCGATAAAATCACATAAAAATATAAATATTTCAAAGATATATTTTTTAAGTGCTAAATCAAAATAAAATGATCAAAGACACAATTTTAAAAAATTCCTGAGACTTTATAAAATTCCTGGATTATATAAGGTGTGAGAAGAATTTTTCAAGGAGTAGACATCCTATAGAATTTTATTGCTGTTTTAGACGCAGTTAGATTAGCGTCTTGTCAAACATTCGTGCATAACGTGTATACACACTAGTGATTATGAAGATTAATGAAGGATTAAGCCTAATTTGCGTACGAGTGCGCTACGAGAGATAAATGAAATACGATCGTCGAATAGACATTATTATCCTCCAATTTAATTGTCGGAAAGATATATTAATCGTGTTCCATCAGTGAATAATGTTTATTCACCTGTGGGAATTATCAGCGACGTTTTCGCGATTAATAATCGAGATGTGTATATCGCCAATTTTAATTACGCGATTTTCAGATGAGGAATACGGACAAAAGAGCGTTTCCGTGATGCTCGACGGCCAAGAAACGGAATTGGAGATCATCGATCATCCCGCCGCGGAGATGTCAGTGAGTACAACGATGTGCCATGTTTTCCCTGCATATGTGTAGAGAGAAAATTCTGTCGTTAAAAATAAACGGCAATCGTTATCGGGCGAACGAAGTTTATACGTAATAAATTGCATTGGCTGAAATTTATCTGACGTTTTAACAGCTCGTAAGTAGAGTTATAACACGATATCATCCCTCGTCTAGAGTTCCTTTTATCGTCGCTGATTAAATGTCAACATGAAAAAACCCCAGGATACGCGATTCCCGATATAAAACTACACGATATAACGCGATATAATAAGCGTAGATTAAAAAAAATATATATATATATATATATATATATATATATATATTATATATATAGACGTTATTCCTTATTAGAGGATGAATAGACTTGAAAGGAGGGTCAATAACATGGAATAGGAAATAATTATTTGTTCGGATTTATCAAGGTAGATGGGGAAAAAGTTTCGCGTGGGTGACAGGATGTGATATAAAATGTATAAGCCGTAAAAACAAAAAGCATGTAAATACATACGGGCCATTAAAGAGCCAGTCAGAAACATACACGCGATTTTATTGGAAAATAAATATTTTTGTATTATTTATATATATATATATTCCTATGTCATTTTATAGCGCAACATTGCGTTCGCGTCATTATTCACAAAAACAGAATTTATTTGTGCGTAAAAAATAAAAAAAGCTGTTTGCCAAATTTGTTCTCGCTACTCTCTAAATTTCTTGGAGTGAAAACCGAACAATCTCATTCCAAAAGAGTGGAATTTTACTCCAAAAGAGTGAGATTCCACTCTTTTGGAGTAGAATTCCACTCTTTTGGAATGAGATTGTTCAGTTTTCACTCCAAGAAATTTAGAGAGTAGCCGATAAATAATTAATTAACACTCCGCCGAATTTTTCCACTTTTTTTTCTTCGTCTTTCTGAGGTCGAGACTTTTTGTTCGACGTACAATCCAGACGTGTACGTGGTGGTGTATTCGGTGGTGGACAGAAGAAGCTTCAAAGCCGCCGAGGAGATGTTGCTCTATTTGTGGAAGAGCGATTACATGGCTAGTCATGGTGTCATTTTGGTCGGTAATAAAGTTGACCTCGAAAGAAAGCGGGAGGTTCCGTCAGTGGGTGAGTATGGATGAGTTTTCGTGCAAATTTCCCAACGTAATTACAATTCGCGAGCTGTTACAATGAAATCCTGAGAGAGATGCGAGTCAATCAAATTTTCAGACTTGTCAGTTCGGTTAAGGGAGAAACTTGATTACAGCGACAGTCGAGAAAAGAAGAATAATTTCAGATTTTTTTTGACAAGGTGATGTTGATAAAATTATTTTATCTTGTTGCAAAATTTTTTATATTGTTTAATGGAAATATGCTTTATATAAAATTTCGTCAAAAGATAATTTAATAATCATTCTACTATTGTCGCGGACTGTTGTTTTAAAAATTATTTTGATTGGGATATATAATCTGAATACAAAAATAAAATGTACTGTTAAAAGCTATATGCATGAATATATAGTTATTGTTATGTACAAAAATTTAAAAAGTTTTAATATATATAGTACAATATTATATTAATCTAGTGCAAAATGGCAAACTTATGATAATAAAAATTTACCTAAAAATTGGGCAGATTTTACGGTCAAAAAATTTTTATCAAATAATAGTAGACAAAAAATATATAAATATATAACGCTAACTGTCAAAAATATATACCCTTTTTATTTCAAATTACTAAAATAGCCCCTCGGACAATCCGATAATGATGTGCCATATTGCAAAATGTATACACGAAGAGAATTTTCTCTTAGAATTTATCCTGAAAATTATGGTAATCGTGGGTGCACAGTAAAAAATATTAATATATACATAGTAAAAATCAAACATATTTGATCTTATTGTGGTAAATATTAATTCTACATTATTATCTCTTAACGAAATTTTATATCAAGCATTCTTCAAAACGTAGACTATATCGATAAGACATCTTTATTAGAAAATTATTTCGTTAAAAAGATTCTTAATATCCGGATTTACATACATAATTTTACTATCGCGTCAGAAGTCGACGGAAAGAAAAAGCAAAATATTTAATTTGAGTCTCAACGATAGAAAAAAAAAACGTACAAAAAGAAAATATAACGGGAAGAAAAAAGATACATAGAAGAATCTGTGTGAAATAAAAATGTCAATTTCGTGCACACTCAAGCCCTTCGATTCCTGCCCGACAGTCGGTCGCCGTCTGGCCAACAACTGCGGCTGCAAATTCATCGAGACCTCGTCCGGACTGGCCCATCACGTGGACGAACTCCTGGTCGGGATTCTGGCCCAGATCAAGCTGAATCCGCAGCGTAACCGGGACCAGGCGACCAAGCGTCGTCGGAGCAAGCACCGCAGGCGGATCCTGCAGCACCTACTTGGCTTCAAGAGGAAAACCAAGAGCTGTGAGAATCTCTTCGTTCTCTAACGTACCTCGTTCCTTCGCTCGTGGCGATGATTTCGAGGCGAGATATCGGATATCCGGCGAAATCATCGCCGGATGATCTCGCCTCGAGAACACGATTGTCGTCTTCACAATCGGCTCGAAAAGAAGAAAAAAAATACGTGCGCTATCTACGGCAAGTCTTGTCGATCGCGCTCACGTAAACGAGAATCTGATAAAAGAGACCACTTCGAATCGGCAGGTGGGAATATCGAGCAGGTATTTCCCCTGGCACCGATTGGTGCGCAGAAAGAGAAGTTCGCGAGAGAGAATTATATATATGTATACGTGACGAAAATCATCACAGGTTTTTGCACAGGAAAATAAGATAGGTATCGCTTTATCGTATGATTTCAAAGAGAAATCTTTTTTTATATAACGTTGAAACGTGACGCGCCGGATTATTGAAGCAAAGAGGATTAATGCGCAATTTTCTGTGTTGCGAAACGCGCATTTGCATGCGTAAATAATTTTATGAAAGAGTATACTGTGTGTATGTGTGTATTGCATTGTATCTCTCTCTTTCTTTCCCTCTCTCTCTCTCTCTTTCTTTTATCGTATAGAGGATAATTGTTATTGCATATTTCATCAAGAGCGATTTTAATGTTTGTGCCATGATCCATCTCGCGCTTTTATGCGACGCAGCAATTCATTACGAAGACAACGCGACGCGAAATAAGGATAAGCAGCGCGAGGAAGCAATCATCGAATAACTGGGTGTACGATAAAAATTATATACGTGAGATATATACAAATTCTGGCGGCCAAGTTATCGCAAAGTCACGAGAGGAAATTTGATTTATCAACAGTACACGTGGCGTTTGACAAGTGGAGGCTACGCGCTGCTCATCATCGATTTCTATTGAAATTTGCAGAAATATGACACGAGATATTGTATCAGCGATATATGTAAAACCATTCTTTCGAACGGCCTTCAGAAGCAGAATTATAAAGAATTAAAATGTTTGTTGCAACGCTTGACTACAGAAACTGACATTAAACGAGTAAACGTGGTTTAGCAGCGCAGCCTTCTTAAAATTATGTTATGTTTTAAGTGCTCCATTTAATTACCATCCACAGGATCAACGAAACTGTCATCGAAAAATATAATTACGTACTCTGCTTTTATGTATTTTCTCTCTCCTCTTTTTTATTTTCTTTTTTATTATCGAGAAAAATACACTGGCAAAAAATTTAATTTCCAGCTTTACTTGAATCTACATAATACAGTGCAGTGCTTTTATTACTGAAGTTGTATGTGCTTACTCGTTCAATATCAGTTCTGAAATGTATAGACGTAAGTATATCCACTAAAAAAACTATCTTTGTTCTTTTATAACTTGACTTTGAAAGCTTAATCGAAAGAATATACTGATAATACATATATCTTTTATCATGCCTGTAAATTTATTAGAATAGATGTAAATTTAATAAAAATCCGTGAAAAAGCGTAGTCTCCCATATTATGAAATGGCGAAATTTAAAAAATTCTGTCAAGATCTCTTGACACTTTGCGTTTGTATTTGCTCTGTACTAACGGTCTACTTGGAAGATTACCGTAAGCTCGTCATTTTCTCTTCCAGATGTATATACATATATATACATATATATATATATATATATATATATATATATGTAAGCTATATATTTATATATATCCAATATAATCTAGATTAATGTTTGTAATAATACAATCGTAATAGTGATGATAATAATAATAACAATTACTGTGGTGAACAAGAAAATCGATCGCTTTGCCACTTGGAATGCGCGAGAGGATTAATTGGAGAAATATCAATTTATACATTACATTTTTGACGGCTCTCTGTTTCACGATGGAGTGTATCGAATTTAAGGAATTGATTAAAAGAATCGAAATGTGAGATAAATAACAGGGATTCGTGTCAATATTTTTTTTTTTTTTTAAAGAGATCTGTGTGTATGGATTCATAATTTAATTGGCAATTTTATGATGTACGAATCCTTCAATTGGGAATAATTCGGACATAACAAAATGTATCTGTTTAAGTGTAATTTAAGGATAACGCGCGCATGTGCACTAATATTTTTAAGCATAATGAATGTATAGGTGGGATCAAACAAACATATGTAATCGACCAAGCCAGTGATGTCTTGTTTAAACAAAGATATAGCTTTGGAGATGTGCGAGAATGTCGTCGTATATTTAATAAAATTTCAGGGATTTGCGTCGGAAAAATATAAACGATCTACCTGCTATCTCTGCGTTAAACTGATATCTGTTTGATATTGATATCACACATGTGGAGAACATATCATGTAACTACAAGGGGTGTAATCTGTCGTGCTGGAAAACCTCAAAAATTAAATTACGAACAATACATGACTGCTTGTTCTTAAAAAAAATTCGATATTTTGAGTACAATTTATCGGCTCTGTAAGTGCGACTTCTGTTAAAATCGACGAAAAAAAAGGAATGTTTTATATGGATTTTTAATAAATTTTTTTTCCCACAGCTTTTTCGTCGAAAAAGAGACTTCTTTTCCTTCATCTATTACACTGCTCAATAAAAGAACCAGAATAAGGCTAGTCGTTTCTTATAGTTTTTTTGGCTGAATACGAATCTGGTTTCCACATTATTCCATCACGTCACAATTTTGAGAAACTTTTAATGAAAGTTGCAAAAAAGAGCTTTTTTCACGAATTCTGTTATATTATAGCTACAATATGTGACGTGTTGGAGAAGTTTTATTGCAATCAAAATAAAATATATTAGGACTTTTAACCCTCAAAAGGAATTTTTGATGTCGGTCATGATCAATAAAAGATATTCTTTTAAGGATTAAAAGTCCTAATAATATACTTTGACTGCCTATAAAACTTCTCCAGCATGTTAACTTTAATTAAAAAGTTCTCAAAATTGTGACGTGATGAAGCAATTTGGAAATTGGATTCGTCCTCAGCATCCAAAAAATTATTGTATTATATAAGGAACGATTATTATCAAGCATCGTTATCATCCACGCTAAAGTGACCTCAACAAATGGAAAGTCAGATAGATATATTACTTTGATGTATCTTCTCTCTTACATTCTTCGAACTGTTTACTTTTTTTTATTCGCATAAATAATACGGTGTAAAAACACAGGAATGACAGACTGGATTCGGAAACGTTGCTGGTAGAATTGAGGCTGGTAAAGGCCGGGGGCAACACGGTCCGGATGTTATCGGACAACATCGAGGTGGCGGGACACAGGGAGGTCGTCGAAGCGGAGTTTCGCAAGGAATCTCTTCGATCCTCGGGGGCAGAATTACGTTGCGCGATGCTGGTGGCGGAACGCTCGGGCATTTGCTACAAAATGTTGCAAACGAGATGAAACTGCATAGTTATGTGTAGAGAACAATGGTCCGTTTCCGCAAAGGACGCAATAACTTTGTGCCATTCGCATTTTAATTAAATATTTCGCGCGTACCAAGAGTCGATCATGCGTATCAGATATTTGAGCTCCTCCATGTCGCCTCCACACGACTCAGATTTCTTTTTCTGGCAGGACGGGTCTCTTATTTCTATCGACATTTCTAACTTGAAATTTTTATTGTAAAACCAATTTTGATTAATTACGACGCATAAGTAATAAGTACCAAGTCTTGTGTGGTTTCTGATAGAGAATTTTTCCGATAAGAAAATCGTGTGATGTGAAATTGCAGTTTAATATAAAAAACCAATCTATCGCGTTTGTAATTAACACTGAACAAAATCGCAATAACTAAAATGTGTCAATTTTAACCAAACTCTATTTTATTATTTTTACGAAGCATTTTATATGAAGTATTTACGTCATATAAACCATATCTTTTTTCTCGGAAAATTATCAGAATTATGACAATGACCGGAAAAATTAGCGCTTATCAGAGATTAATGTTGAAAATCGCTTCGATCCTGCCTGAAAAACTCCGCGTCGCGTTTTTGCATCCCGTAGGTAGGACATTATTTAAAAGTTCAAATTTCCTGAAGAAGATCACGCCGAGTTTCAAAATAATTTCGTTAAAAAAAAAATTTAATCGTATCTTAGGTCCGACTACTATATTCTTCTGGGCACCGACGTTTAAATGGGGTTTGGTGATAGCAGGCATAGGAGACATTAATCGACCTGCAGATACGATCTCTCTCAGTCAAACCGCGAGTCTTATGGTTACGGGAGCTATATGGTCTAGGTATGTATTTTATCAATTTTATCAGAATACCGTCAATCAAGTCGTCTTTATCTGCACGATTCCAGGTATTCGCTGGTAATAATACCCAAGAATTACAATCTGTTTAGCGTCAACATGTTTACTTGTTGCACGGGAGCGTACAATTTTGTCAGAGGATTGTTATATCAAATGCAGAAGAAGGAACAGTGAGATGCCAATGAAGGATATGGAAATCGTGAAATTTTATCGTATCGATATATATATATATATATTTTATACAAAAATATATATCTATATATACACAATCTTTATTTTATAAAATTATTTTACAGTTACGCTAACTATTCGTATATCGTCGTAAGGCTTATCAGTCTTAGGATTCGTCTTTACCTGACTGATATTTTGCACGACTTCCATTCCTTTGTGAACTCGGCCGAATACGGTATGTTTGTTATCTAGCCAGGGCTATAAAAAACGAATGAAAAATATTTATGCTATAAAGTATCTTAAAACTACACCTAATCTCAATTCACGTTCAAAAAATTTTATTCAAAAAATGTGTACTCACCGTCGGTGTCAGCGTGATGAAAAACTGGCTTCCGTTCGTATTTGGTCCCGCGTTGGCCATACTTAAAGTGTACGGTCTGTCGTGCTTCAAGTTCGATTTAAATTCGTCCTCGAATTCGCCTCCCCATATACTTTCACCACCGGTGCCGGTTCCAGTAGGATCGCCCGTCTGTATCATGAAACCCTTGATAACTCTGTGGAATATATGGCCATTGAAATAGCCATTCTTCGCATGCACGCAGAAATTCTCCACCGTCTTTGGGACGTCCTTGCCAAAGAGATTCACGTGAACGTCACCGAGCGCCGTATGAATGATCGCTGTATCATAAATTTTCTGCATATTTGTGGCTTCCGTCGAAGATATGATATCTTCCTTGGAAGGCTTTTCGTTGAAAACATCTCGATCGCATTCCTGGCTCTTTGTGTCCTCCGGCTCTCGTCTCGTGAACATGTAGAATCGATTTTTCTTGTGAGCTGTGCAAAATAATGTCGGATCGGGACGGTTCATCTCCATCGTGGGATTCTCAGAGGCTTCCATTTCGACAGTTAACGCAGCGGTTGTTTTTCGCGCTTTTCCCTGCATCATATATTATATATTATAAATCTTATATCGATTGTCGCTTTTGTGCGCTTTAATTACAAGACTTATTAAATACCTGGAATAATGATAGCTGCATTGGTCGTATGTTCTCTGGTTTTCCCATAATTTTGATACAGCGATTTGTGTAAAGATTTACTACTTTGACACCCAACATGGTAGGATACAAAATAATATAACCAGATTCGTCAAAAATTATATTCCCCAGATTCGTCTCAGTTTTATCCAATTCTCTTTCGACTGCCATTCTGTAATAATAGTAGAAATGTAATCAGCTGAAGGAAGCAATTTATAAAATTTCGACAACTTAGAAAGAGCATTCTACCTTCGTCCAAATTCCATGTTCGGAAGTTGCTGCACAGTTTGTTGCAATTCGCTGAATCTTTGAAGTGTCTCGTCAAATATCCTGTACAGTTTGCCCGTCCGAAAATTGAAAACTCTAACTTTCCTATCTCCACTGAGGGATGCAAATCGTTTGCCGTCAGGCGATATCGCTAAGCCGCATGGGTAAGTCTTATTTTTAGCAAATTCAAACAGATCTGTGTCCAACTTTGATTCAAACGATATGCATTTGGGAAACTTATACTCCATCTTCGGACCCGTCCAGTACTCCAACATTCCTGCTTTATCAATGGAGATGCATGTCTCGTACACAGGATTGTACTGTAAAAAAAGACATATTAATATAATTATCTTCTTATTTCAAGAAAATTTCACGCATTTTGCATTTTAACTTACTTTCATAATGATGACCGGTTTAGTGTGTAGCTTTTCAAATACATGTAAAGGTGTATTTGTTCCCTGACCATCATAGATGTATATTTTATTTGATTCTTGTGAAGAAACTGCAACAGCAGCTATGGCATCACCAGCTGAATAGACCCATTCAGCACAAAGTGGTACAAAGTCCAATTTTATCATGTTTATCATATCTAAAATCAAAGATATAATGTGTATAAGATAAATATTTTTACAAACAACTTAAATATAAATATAATAGATTTCCATACTTACCAAAATTGATGACATCAAATATTTTCATGGTTTTATCAATGCTTACTGAGCATACATGTACACCGTTGCAACTAGCAGACATCGACTGTATCGCCATTAAATGTGCCCGAAAGTGCTTTACAAATTCTATCAATTCCTCTTGCTTTTTCCAAAATTTTACATGTCCATCGCAACTAGCGGTTATCACAAAGTTTGACCTGTATCAATACATTCCAATAAGATTTTTCAGAAAACAAAAATTATATATATGACTTTATTATCTATATAAAATCTATACAAACTTTGTTACTAAAATGTGAGTGATGACATCTCTGTGCATATAAGACTTCTCGTAGCATTCACAACATGGCAAGTTGTCTATGTACACCTGTTCGTATTCCAAAACTGTAAATAAAATTAGAAATATATGAAAAAGATATACATCAATAAAAGCAAAGATTTTTTACTTATTAAATGTCAAAAAAATAAAATTTAATCTTGAAATAGGAAAATCTGAGGGAATTTAAATATTATTTATAGTAAAGAATTTGTATTCAAATTCGTCAAAATGTTACGTGCAATAAATGTGACAGCAAACAGTAGTAGGCAGAAATAATTACGCGTAAATATGAATGAATTTAAACGATAAAAAAATATTGTTTTGATTAACCTCGTTGCTTCTTTTGCGGTACAGCTTCCGAAGGTAAGGGTCCGATCCAGCCGTCTTCCGTGTCGCATTCTTCATGTTCACGCTTGTCACTCATGATTGATCGCACATATAATAAACAATATTTTCAATTTTATTAATAAATAAAGATATAATCACAAATAACTTATATTTCCACGATTGTTTACGCCGCGGCGTTCGCAGCTGCGAAGTGACGTTTCGTGTCGTTTTTGTTCATCCAATGAGCGAATTGATCGCGAGAAACACCAGTAGACAGCCAATAGCTGGATTGGACAAGCATGACAGTTGTTCGATGTAAGCACAGACCACACAGACTTCTATAAGTGGAGTAGTTCAGCAGAAGAGCGAAAATGGCTGCTTGGACGAGAGCTATTCGTACTATTTCAAGAAAATATGCAACATCCACTCATGAACATGCGAGCTCAGGTAAATCATATGCGAATAAATTGTATATTGTACTAATAATTTTTTAAATATTTTATTTGCGCGCCTAATATTTTCTAAATATTTTATTTGGAAAACGAGATTTATACTTGCACAGAGTATGATACTATACCGTCGTTTATAGCATATTTTATAGCATATTTTATAGGATATTTTTGTTAAATATTATTGATTAAGATCTGGAAATAACGCTTTGTATTTGAATAATATTACGATGATGCATCACGATTTTTCTGCGAACAAGAAGATGTAGGAAATTTTCAAATAAATTATTGATGAACATTACATAACAGTAATATTTACTTGTGTGTTGCTTACAGAGCAGACTGTACTGTTGTGGAAGAGGATTTCCTTCTTTGTAGGCTTCCCAGCGATAGGTCTGGCTATGTTAAACTGCTACTTGAATCATCAGGCTCATCATCATGACGAACCTCCAGAATTTATTGCATATGATCACTTGAGGATCAGAACCAAGGTATACATACCAATATATTGTTATATAAATATTTAAAAAAATTTTTAAGATTAAATAATGGTTAATCTTTAATTTTATATTATTCTTTCATTTTAGAAGTTCCCATGGGGTGATGGTAATCATTCACTTTTCCATAATCCTAAAACAAATCCTCTACCCGAAGGTTACGAACAATAGAGGATGATTCTAGTTAGTTGTGTAATGTTACAGTTATACTAGTATTACTAGTATTCTCTATAATATGTATCCTACATTATACTATCTTATACATGAGTAAATAAAAATTCAAAAATCGATTTTTTCTTATTCTTCTAGATGTATGTCTTCGCTTAAGGGGTTATACCTATCTATGAGGTCGAAGAAAAATCTCTCTAATATAAGAGATAAAAATAAAGGGAGTAATATATATGAGTGTTACATGTATCTGTAATAGCATTTATTGTAAGAATGGCACACAAGTAGCCTCTTAAGTTAATATTACATGTATTTGATGTTTATTTAAAACCGTTATATAAGACTTGACTTTTAAGTACACATAATCTTATTGATTTGTTCTGAAAATTATATTTTTTCCTTTATTTTTCCTTTTGTCAAGTTTTGTTGAATTAATTTAAAATTATAGCAAATATTAAAAAAAAATACTATATTTTTTAAATTAAATGTTTAATATAAATAACAAAACGTATAATTAATAAATAAAAAATTATATGTATAATTATCTCAATCAATTTATTCATTCATTTTTCCTTATAGGTAAGTTAATGATTATTAAACTAAGTTAAGTTAAAGTTAGGTTGCTTATAAAATTATAAAATTAATTTAGTTAAGTTAAAAATTGCATAAATAAAAAATTAACTGAGTTAAAGTTAAGATTAATAATTAACTAAAGTTAAATTAAAAGTTAATTTTTAGAAAACATTTATATATTCTTTTAAAATTCATAATAACAAATCAAGAAATTTTGATATTTCCCATACAGCACCGTTAGATTGCAAAAACATTACAACAATCTTTCACCGCAATATTGCAATATTGCAAATTCACTGCAAAATGTTGCTACATCATGCTGTTGAATTGCAGCAATGTTAAAATGTCCGCTTTTTGGAAGATATAAAATTATTGATTATCGTTAACATCTTTTATTGTACAAATTGCAAAAAATATTTTATTACAGTATTATACCTAGCAAATACCAAGTTACAGTTATTAATTGTTAGTTGTAATTTTCCACTCAACAATATAATTGTTATAATACACGTATTATATTTTTGAGTGGGAAATTACAACTAACAATTATATAGCTGTAACTTGGTGTTTGCTGGGTATATGTATATATATAATATATAAATTATAGAATTTGGATTACATGCAATATTTCCGAAATATTAATGTCATGTTGCTACAAGTGTGCTGGAATTTTGTGCACCTATATCTCTGCAATGTCTTTATAATGTTGCATTGCAACTTGCAACATTGCAACGTTGCTGCAATATAATTGCAATAATCTGTGCTGTATGGGTTATATAGAATATATTTTTTGGTAATTACAATAATCGATAACAAATGAATATCAAAATTAATAATACTTTAATTTAAAAACAATGCGTTTATAATTTATAAAAAGCAATAATGATATTTAGAGATAAAAAATTTAACTTAGGAAAAAGTTAACCCACACAGCACAAAACATTTCAGAGACCTTCGCAAAATTTATTTAAAAATATTTCATATACGTCTTAAATACGTGAAAATGTTCGCTATTTTGTCACAAATATGTTTATGAAAGATTACATAAATGTTTCAAATGTTACTTTTTCTATATGTTTCGTAAAAGTTTCAGTGTTACATGAAACTTTTTGAAACTTTGAAACGTTTCTGCAACATTTCTGTTGAGTTTTGTGCTGTGTGGGAAGTTTAAGGTAAAAAATAATTAGTTGGAAGTTAAAAATTAATACCAGAGAGATTTTCTCTGGTAATACATTTTAAATTAACTAAGCTAAACCACAGTATAAAGTATACACAGTAGCGACAGTGAGTGTCGGTACCCTTTGATGTAGGTGGTCTCAAGTCACGTGGTATGCCATGTTGTTAGATGTACGGCCGCCACGATTCAAATACACGTATTGCATAAAAAAAATATTTCTATGTTTAATTATTTTACGAGATATTGCCTTTATAACTTGGAAACTACTTAATAAAAAATAAAAATTATATGTAGTGTTTTGGAAAGCTCTTGAGATAAGCTACAAGAATATGTAACCTTTATAGAAATTTATCACTATATTATAGTAACGCCAATTTATCACTTATTTCGAGTACTTAATCACTTATTTTGAGTGCTTAAAAATTACTGTATATCAGTATTTCAAGTACTTGAAATAAGTGATTAATTGGCGTTACTATATAGTGATAAATTTGTACAAGGAAATAAGGAAAAGAGTGTTCTATTTAAAAAAATTAAAGTGACCTTGTTCTGACTTTGGCAACGCCATTCAAGGTCAAACTCATAACGTCAGTAAATAGATTTTTTGAAGCTTTACAACTTTTATCCGAAATTCTTTCTAAAATAAAAAATAAGAAAGTTATTCGGGTGGCCGGTCTTATGTTAGGTGACGCACCCTGGGACTATGAATACCGCCCATATAATTAAGGGTGCGTTCCGTTATGCACTGCAAGTACTGGCACTATGACGTCATGCAAGTGTACTGTTGACAGCGTTCCTTTTTAATTTTGTGCACTTTGAAGCTACTGCAAAATAGTAAAACGGAACGCACTACAGTACGCTTTCAGCAGACTTTTAACTAACCTTTTTCGCTAATAATCATCGAGTGAAAAATTGGTGAAATGGATAATACCATTATTGCATTAATTACATATAATTTAATCGAGAATATATATGATTCGAGTGAGTCATCAAGTGAAAGCGATTTGGAAATGGAATTAATAAATGAAATGAGACGACAAATTAAAATACCTAGAATAAAATGTAAAAATTACGTTAAAAATATTGTATCATTATATTCAGATATGGAATTTAAAAGTTAGTTCCATCGTACACATGGAGGTAGCCATCTTGATTACTGCGAGTGCTTTACCTCGCCGGTTGCAGTAATCGCAACAGGAAATAACGTCAAAATTAATGACGTCATATACTCATGATAGTACTTTCGCAGTGCACTGCTATCTATATCGGAACGCTATTGGTAGTACCCATACAGCACAGATTATTGCAATTATATTGCAGCAACGTTGTAATGTTGCAAGTTGCAATGCAACATTATAAAGACATTGCAGAGATATAGGTGCACAAAATTCCAGCACACTTGTAGCAACATGACATTAATATTTCGGAAATATTGCATGTAATCCAAATTCTATAATTTATATATTGTAATATATATACATATACCCAGCAAACACCAAGTTACAGCTATATAATTGTTAGTTGTAATTTCTTACTCAAAAATATAATACGTGTATTATAACAATTATATTGTTGAGTGGAAAATTACAACTAACAAATTATATAACTGTAACTTGGTATTTGCTGGGTATAATACTTACTGCCCAGCAAACACAGTATATAAATGTTATATATTTAAGCATGTTACATGTAACGTATATGTTAGTTGTAATTTCCCACTCATAGATGTAACATTTTTAATATTACATATATTACATTGTAGTTATATATTGTCATTATATCCCAAGATAGCACTGACTTATCAATATATTAATGTGCTATTTGGTATATAATTACAATATAACTTTTAATGTAATATATGTTATATTAAAATGTTACATCTATGAGTGGGAAATTACAACTAACATGGATGTTACATGTAACGTACACGTTATATTACCTGTTATATTCCGTTTTATTATAGCAATGTAACAATTATATATCGGTGTTTGCTGGGTGTAATAAAATAATTTTTTGCAATATTGTACAATAAAAGATGTTAACGATAATCAATAATTTTATTATCTTCCAAAAAGCGGACATTTTAACATTGCTGCAATTCAACAGCAATGATGTAGCAACATTTTGCAGTGAATTTGCAATATTGCAATATTGCGGTGAAAGATTGTTGTAATGTTTTTGCAATCTAACGGTGCTGTATGGGTACTGTCAGTACTTGCAGTGCATAACGGAACGCACCCCGAGTCTATAGATGCAAGTATTGATCATATGACATGGGAGTAGTTCAGCAGAAGAGCAAAAATGGCAGTTAAATGGCGTTCGTTGACGGGTTCAAAGGTTTCGTCTGAAAATTTTTTCCTTTGTACTCTGTTCTGGTCCTAATATCATTATAAAGTATACCCGCTGATCGTGCTCCTTTATCAATTCTGTTTTTAAATATCAATTATAATTCGCTGATGGCTGAAAGTCGTTTGAAACGGGGTAAAAAAAAATTTAAGAAGAAGAAGCAAAAATGGCTGCTTGGACGAGAGCTATTCACCGTTTCAAGAAATTATGCAACTTTAACTCAAGAACATACGAGCTCAGGTAAATTATATGCGAATAAATTGTATATTGTACTAATAATTTTTTAAATATTTTATTCACGCGCCTTTGAAAAACGAGATTTATACTTGCACAGAGTATGATATATATACCGTCGTTTATAACATATTTTATAGGATATTTTTGTTAAATGTTATTGATTAAGGTCTGGAAATGACGCTTTGTATTTGAATAATATTACGATGATGCATCACGATTTTTCGACAAGAAGATGTAGAATATTTTCAAATAAATTATTGATGAACATCACATATCAGTAATACTTGTGTGTTACAGAGAGCAGATTCCGCTGTTGTGGAAGAGGATTTCCTTCTTCGTAGGCTCCCCAGCGATAGGTCTGGCTATGTTGAGCTGCTACTTGAATCATCAGGCTCATCATCATGACAGACCTCCAGAATTTATTGCATACGATCACTTGAGGATCAGAACCAAAGGTATATATACCAATATATCGTTATATAAATATTTAAAAAAATATTTTTAAGATTGAATAATGGTCAATCTTTAATTTTATTTCAACGTGATTAATTAAAATCCGACCTGACTAGTCATTATAAAAAATGTTGAACACAACGTTTCGGCCCTTTTTTTAATTAACATGGAGGAAACCTATAATAGGTACCGCATGTCCCTCGGGGAAGGGAACATGGATTATATATGGAATTCCTCTCGTCCTATTCGAGATTATTAGGGATGATCATCTCGGTAGGGGTCGAGAGAAGACCGCACTAAAACAGAATATAGACAAGTATAGAAGCACGGTTCTCGGTACCCTGAAAGTCGCACGAGCTGGGGTACTTTGCTACAGTTTACGTCACGTATACTGTACTATCTGTAGCATTTCAGTACAGTATACGTGACGTAAACTATAGCAAAGTACCTAAAAAAATATATACTAAATATGTACTAAAAAAAATATATAAAATTAAAGTCTCCAATGATTAGAATGAAGTCGCCAGTGATGAATAAATTTCAACGTGATTTATTAAAATCCGAACAAACTTTCTATGATGAATTTCGACATTAGACCAAGAGGCGTTTCGACACTTCAATGTTCTAACTCTCTTATATACAACGCCTCTTGTTGAGAACCGAAAATCTTACATAGACGATTGGACGAGTATAGAAGCACGGTTCTCAGTACCCTGAAAGTCGCACGAGCTGGGGTACTTTGCTACAGTTTACGTCACGTATACTGTACTATCTGTAGCATTTCAGTACAGTATACGTGACGTAAACTATAGCAAAGTACCCCAGCTCGTGCGACTTTCAGGGTACTGAGAACCGTGCTTCTATACTCGTCCAATCGTCTATGTAAGATTTTCGGTTCTCAACAAGAGGCGTTGTATATAAGAGAGTTAGAACATTGAAGTGTCGAAACGCCTCTTGGTCTAATGTCGAAATTCATCATAGAAAGTTTGTTCGGATTTTAATAAATCACGTTGAAATTTATTCATCACTGGCGACTTCATTCTAATCATTGGAGACTTTAATTTTATATATTTTTTTTTATTTTAGGAATTCGCATAGGGTGATGGTAATTATACATTTTTCTATAATCCTAAAACAAATTCTCTACCCGATGGTTACGAACAATAGAGAATGATTCTGGTTAGTTGTGTAATGTTATAGTTATACTGCTATTACTAGTATTCTCTATAATAAGTATCCTACATTATACTATCTGCATGGGTAATCAAAATTGAAAAATCGATTTTTTTTACCCTTTTAGATGTATGTCCTCCCTTAAGGGGTTATACCTACCTGTAAGGTCGAAAAACATTTTATTAATCAAAATTAATTATTCATCAATATAAATAATAATTGATTTTGGTCTTAAATCGTTACAATGCTTGTAATGACTTGCCTTCCAATGCAAATTCGAGCAACGTTTAGAACAATAAGAAGACGTAAACCGTGTTTACGTTGTAAATGTAAAAGTACAATATTTTGTGAAGCCTTCAAAAAAGTCAAGGCTTATATAACGGTTTCAAAAATTGAAACAGATATAATATACCAGACTTTTTAAAAATATTAGACAACACAACGCGCGCGAAGCGTGCGCTATTGGTATTGTTTTTCTTTATATTTTATAACTGTCAAATTGTTAATCTTCGCGATGACAGTTGCTTGATACTTTCAATTTAACAACAAAGCGACTCGAGATCAGAAAAGCGGCAACAATACTTGCGAGAATTTATTTTTAAAAAGGGACATAATTTCAATTCCCGAATTTCTATTATATATTACATAATTTTAATTTGTCGAATTATTACGTACATAATTTTAATTCGCCGAATTAATATTACGAACATAATTTTAATTTGCGAAATTTCTATTATGTACATAAATTTAATTAGCCAAATTTCTATTATATACATAAGATAAATTCACCGAATTTTCATTATTTACATAATATTAATTCGCCAAAAATTATGTATATAATTTTAATTCCCGAATTTCTATTATGTACATGATTTTAATTCATCGAATTTTTTTACGTACATAATCTTAATTCTCCGAATTTTTATTATGTACAGGGTGTCCGGTGACACGCGTTTAATACTTTAATGAGAAATTTCTGAGGCGATTTGGAGACGATTTTTCCTCAGCGAAAATGTCCAGGCACCAATAATTTTTGAGTTATAAATGATTGAAAATAAAAGCTTTTTTGTAAACTAAGCTTTGTAAAAATAAATTATTAACAAAACTACATTTTTTAGTTAATTTCAGGTAAAGTTTATTGTAATAGAATTTTAATTTAAGGCTTAGTTATTATACATAGATACATGATTTAAAAAATTGGGAACATTAAAAAAATGATGACCTTTCTCATCATTTTCGCTGAAGAAAAATCGTCTTCAAATCGAATCGAGACAGCCAATTAGCATCGCGGAAAAACGAGGACAAAATAAATAACATGCCTTTTTTAGAATGGGAAACATTGAATACGTAAGGATACTTTCAGACCAAAATCAACTATTATTTATATTGATTAATAATTTTCGAAGATTCCTTTCTAGATTCCTAGATTCTTGCTAGTCTTAAACACGCGAAGGTTAATTGGGAATCTTAAGTTTCTCTTATTTATTATCTCTACGCAACCCCCTAGTCTTTGTCGTAGCCGATTTTGAAAATTCGCGATCTGAACATAAGAGTACGAATTTTCACCAAAAATATGGATCGTTTTTATAGCTATTAAAAAAATTGACAGCATAAAAAAATCCTATGACAAAGATTAGATTTTTTCATGCTGAATAAATGAAAAAAAGTCCAATCCATCCAATAGTTCTCGAAATATTTTGGGTACCGATGTTGAAAACATGGTTTTAATAAACAAAACTAAGAATAAAATATAAAAAAATTAAAAATATAAACAATTCAAATAAACAAGAGCTTCATTTTTTGTACGTTTTTTTGGTACGTTCACAAATTAAGAAAAATATTACAACAAAAAATTAAACAGTTAAAAATAGTATTTGCGCGATTTTAAAGCAGCAAAATCTTTAATTATATTTTTAAATGAAAGAGAAGTAATCAAATCATTTTAGGCTAGGCACCCCCTTCTCTTGTAGCGCCCCTAGGCAATTGCCTATAATGCCTATATGGTAAAATCGGCACGGATTTTAAGTATATTTAGGTAATATATCAGTGATTTTTTTACTTACCTCAGGTTGGGTAATAACTAGTTAATTAGTTAAAAGTTAAAATAAATAGCTAAAAGATTAATAACTTTTAGCTTAGCTTAAAATGTATTAATTTTTAACTTCAACTAGTTATTTTTGACCTTAAACTTATTAACTTTTCCTAAGTTAAATTTTTATTTCTAAATATCATTATTGTTTTTTATAAATTATAAACGTATTGTTTTTAAATTAATATATTATTAATTTTGATATTCATTTGTTATCAATTATAATTACAAAAAATATATTTCTATATAAATATCAAAATTTCTTGATTTGTTATTATAAATTTTAAAAGAATTAACAAACAAAATTCTAATTTAATATAAATAATGTTTTCTAAAAAGTAACTTTTAATTTAACTTTAGTTAATTATTAATCTTAACTTTAACTGAGTTAGTTTTTTATTTATACAATTTTTAACTTAACTAAATTAATTTTATAAGCAATTAACTTTAATTTAACTTAGTTTAAAAATTATTAACTTACCTAACCCTTACTTACATCCTCCGTAGATGTAGCAGCCTCTAGCTCTTCTGGTACATTGGCGGTTTTTAATTTTTAATAAATTTTAATTATTCAGAAAATTTTATCTTTAATCTATAATAATTTTTAATAACTTTATTTTTTTGAATTTTTATTTGTAACTTTAGGAGAATATTTTTGAGATATTGTATACTATAAAAATATAAAATTTGAAAAATTAATTTATTTTATGTATTTTGTGTATTTTATGTATTATGTTCCTCCTGAAAATTAATTGAAGGAAAATTAGAAGGAAAAGGAAATTTGGGAGGAAAAGGAAAAATAAAGGAATAAATTGATTGAGATAATAATTATACATAATTTTTTTTATTAATTGTATTAAACATTTTATTATTTGTATTAAACATTTAATTTGAAAAATATAATATATTTTTTTTAATATTTGCTATAATTTTAAATTAATTCAACAAAATTTGAAAAAAGGAAAAATAAAGAAAAAATGTAATTTTCAGAACAAACGGTTTCAAAAATTGAAACAGATATAATATATTTTTAAGACTTTTTTAAAATAAACATTAAATACATGTAATATTAACTTAAGAGGCTACTTATGTGCCATTTATACAATAAATGCTATTACAAATACATGTAACACTCATATATATTCCCCCTTTAACACTCATATATATTCCTCTCTTTATCTTTATCTCTTATATTAGGAAGATTTGTATACATGCGCATTTATATATATACATTTTTTAAAAATAAAATTATATTTCTTTTTCGATTTCTCTCGTCATTTTTCAGGAAATCAAATTATATCCCTAAATTTAATCCCTAAATCAAATTATACTAAAAATTTTAATATAGCAGGAACTCTGCCTCTCCAAATATGTGCCTTGTCCAGTATAAATGTCCAGTAAAAATGTTAACGTAAAGTATAATGAATTTTTACGAATACTTAAGAATACTCGAGTACTTAAATTACTGTATATCAGTAATTTATTCGAAATAAGTAATTAATCACTAACTCACTAGTAATAAATTTCCATAAGGATGGAAGTTTTATCAAGTATTCGTAAAAATTCATTATATCTTACTTTAAAATTTTTATACACTGAATGTGAAACAATTAACATCACATTCAACAATTACATTTATAGATGGGCTTTTAAGTACGAAGATTAATTAGGAATCGATCGTAATCGTAAAGAAAAAAGCTATTGTAAGCACTGTTATTAATCAAAATGAATTAATTATTTTCATCAATATAAATTATAGTTGATTTTGGTCTAAAAGTATCCTTACAATGCTTATAATGACTTGCCTTCCAATGCAAAGTCGAACAACGTTTAGAACAATAAGAAGCCTCCATGCACGCTTCACAAAATACGAAACTTTTACGTTTGCACCGTAAACACGGTTTATCTTTTTCATCCAGGTTGTCGTTCGCATCTATCTGATTCGGATTTTCGTCCGATGATTTTCCTCCTTTCATCTCATTTAATGATGGGGAGATAGAGACTTCCGGATTATCGTTCATAATCGGTATTTCTTCTATGATCTCATGCGACATGAAGTTAAAGATTTCCTCATTATAATCCACGTCCGACAACTTTTTTTCCTTCATCTCATTTAATGACGCGATGTCATCAGGAACTTTCGGACTGCCATTCATATCTATTAGCTGCTCTTCTTCCTTCATTTCATTTAAATACATAGAGTTAGAGATATCCAAATTATCATCCTCGATTGATAACGTTTCTATCTTCTCATTCAAGTCAAAGACTTTCGGGATGTCATCCACGTCCAATGACTCTTTTTCCATCATTTCATCCAGCACGGAGTTAGAAACCAGATTGTCATTCAAGTATGACGACTTTTCTTCCTTCGTCTCGTTCGACGACGCGGAATTAGGAACTACCGAAATGTCATTCATGTCCGATGATTTTTTTTCCTTTATTTCGTTCACCGTCAGATCATCTTGAAAGAGCGTATCGATTTTTTCAAACAAGGACGGCGATATGCTTCTGACATGCAATATATTCACGTTGTTGGAGTCGTCTTCATTATCTTTGCTTTTCGCGAGACTGTCAACGTCAGCGTTCGAAGTATCATTTTCCTCGACTACGTTTACATTTATATTTATGATGTTGCCTTGCAGCGTAGGATTATACGAAGAAGTTCTTGGTTTTTCGTAATACACACATTTGAGCAGTTTATTAATTGCTTTAACGCCGCTATGAGTATCCATTATTTGTATTTGGTTCTCCTCCACGTCAGGTTGCTCCAGGGTGTCCCTAGGCAAAAAGTCCTCAGCTTGCATCTTCTCTTGATCTAATGGCAAGCGTTCGTCAAGCTCATCAAGCTTATTATGACTTTGTTCCATCGTTAAAAATTGGAAACCTTCCACAAAAGATGACAATGTATCTTCTTCTACAGATTTCCACCTCGTCTCATCAAGGCCTAAATCTTGCTCGTTCCATTGATCTTTTTCGAAAGACGATACACTTTGCTTATCACTTTGCTCTTCTTGCAAATCTAATTTTTCCGCACTTTCATCGATATAGAGACATTCCGAACATTCGGATATCTTTCCATTATCGATCTGTTCGCTTTCAGAATCTTCTTGTTGCGTGAAAACTTTTGAAAATGTTTTAAAGGTGTAGCTCTTACACGTGATATATGCTTGCGTTGCTTTTGTAGATTCATCCGTCGGAAATAATAATTCATCTAATGAAGGCGGAGTAGAATGTCGAGGTATACACATCGCATCAGATACTATAAAATTCGATCTGAATTCTTCAATATTTTCTTCGATATTTTCGGTATATCCTTCGTAATTTACTTCAATATTTTCTTTGATATTTTCTTCGATTTTTTCTTCCATATTTTCTTCGATATTTTCTTCAATATTTTCTTCGATATTTTTACGCGTATCTTCCTGCAAATTTTCGCCAGATATTTTGTTTTTGAGATTATACGCTTCATTGTGATGCAGTCCTTCGTCTTTTCTATTCTTTGTCTCTTCTTCAGCTTCTGTATTACATGGAACTTGCGGTTTTTTGTTTTCTTCGCTGTTATTTAATATTATAACGTTAAAAATTTTGTTTGCATTTGCGTTATCAGATTGTTCGATGCTATCATCTTTCGTCTCTTCATCTTTTAATAGGTTCGATACATTTTGTGTAAGAAAGGAACACGATTCTGACAGCTGCTGGATTACTGTATTAAATGAGGATCGCGATATCGCGTCGATTTCTCTAATATTATTTAATGTTGCATTATTCGAATTTTTGCATTCACTTCCCGTCTGTACGTCATCAGCTTCTTTGACATTATTTTTTGCAATCGTTGAACAAATTTCTGTTTCATCGGTTAATGCAACTTGTAATAAATTCGACGTGTCTTGTACGAGAGAGGAACACGATTCTAATACTTGTTGATCGTGTGAGTCTTTCACCGAAGATCTCGAAGTTTCCTTAACTGTTGGGTCATCTTGCGCTTTCGTTTCCGTAATTTTGTGCGACGTTTCTTCGATCGTTTTTGCTTTCGGAATGTTTGAATGTTCTGCTAACGATGTTTCTACAGTTTTTATTTCCTCGATCGGATTTTCTTTTGAAATGTTTGAAGGTTCTGCTAACGATGTTTCTATATTTTCCATTTTCTCGATCGGATTTTCTTCCGAAATGTTTGAAGATTCTGCTAACGATGTTTCTACAGTTTTTATTTCCTTGATCGGATTTTCTTTTGGAATGTTTGAATGTTCTGCTAACGATGTTTCTACAGTTTTTATTTCCTCGATCGGATTTTCTTTTGAAATGTTTGAAGGTTCTGTTAACGATGTTTCTATATTTTCCATTTTCTCGATCGGATTTTCTTCCGGAATGTTTGAAGATTCTGCTAACGATGTTTTTACAGTTTTTATTTCCTTGATCGGATTTTCTTTTGAAATGTTTGAAGGTTCTGCTAACGATGTTTCTACAGTTTTTATTTCCTTGATTGGATTTTCTTTTGGAATGTTTGAAGGTTCTGCTAACGATGTTTCTACAGTTTTTATTTCCTTGATTGGATTTTCTTTTGGAATGTTTGAAGGTTCTGCTAACGATGTTTCTACATTTTTCAATTTTTGTTTCATGGCGAGAGAGACTTTCTTGTATCGTATCTTTGGCATATCTTTAATCTGCAAATTTACATTTTCCGGAAGTGGTTGCTCGATTATCGCGGATCTTGGCGTAGAATTGAGAGGTGTTTTTCTATTTTGTGCTTCCATCGATGAATTTCTGCTTTGCATCGTCGTGGATGTCGAGCTTATTGATGCGTTCGAATCAATATTTTTTTCTGAAATTTGTCTCTCTTGCACTTTATCACAGATTAAATTATTTTGACTAGATTGAGTCGTGTTTCGAGATGATTTGATTTTTGACTGTTGATTTGTTATTATCGACGCTTTTTTCGATGTATCGTTTTGCAGCTCTTTCTTGGTATCACTTTCACTGACGTTTTTATTTTTCTCCAGCATTTTTATTGTATCATAATATAAAGATTCATAGAAGGAAATTAACATCTTTTTTTCGAGGCGAATTTGTTCAGAGTCCTGCTGTGCAAATTGATTCAAGTGCAATCGTAACTGGTCTTGCAATATAATTTTCTGAATGTCTGTCAGAATGCTGAAATCAAACTGGCGCATATTGTTTGGTGGCGATGGCGTGGATTTTTGCGAAAATAACATTGTCTTATTTTTTTGCGAAGTCATGTTAGATATCACATTTTGCGAAACACTTGGTTCCTGCGATATGGTAGTTTTCGTAGAGCCGCTAGGTGGATTTTGCAATATCTTACATGAACTTGAGCTTCCTTGACAATTTCTTACAGCTTGTTGTGGATTTGTGAATTGTGTTCTATTTGGCACATTATCTCTAACTTGTAGAATCTCAATTTTCTTAAATGTTTGCGCATTCGTCGAGGTGACGTTGTTACTCGACGAATAAGTAAAACGGACGGATGCATCCTTGGGTTGTTGCAGGTTCTGCTGCACATTTTGTTGCTGCAAATTTTGTTGTTGTAAGTTTTGTTGCTGCAAATTTCGTTGCTGCAAAGTTTGTTGCTGCAAATTTTGTTGTTGTAAGTTTTGTTGCTGCAAATTTCGTTGCTGCAAAGTTTGTTGCTGCAAATTTTGTTGCTGCATATTTTGTTGCTGCACAGTCAGATTCGGCGACATATTCTGAACATGCGTAGATTGTGGCGTACAAATATTCGACGCGTTTGGTGAGATTATGTTGTACTGTAGAACATTTCTTTCTGCAGGTACTGGTCGATTCTGTGGATTTACAGATGGATTTCCGGGTTTAATATTTCCTGTTACATTAACTCCACTTCTCTGAGCATTCGTTATAGAAAAATTGAGCTGAGTGACATCGTATATCTGAGGTTTAATCGTTTGGTTTGTCGTGTACGATATTTGCGAGACTCCTGAGTTTACGTGCATCTGGATGTATGGAGTTTGGTTCTGTTGGTAAACGTTAGTCGTAGATGCTGGAATTGTATTACTGGTGGTCGAAGTTCTCTTTTGGGTATATGAATCTTTAGCAGTTGCAGAAGAGACGTTTGTATTCCCTGGATATGGAGGTGATGGATGTTCGTAGTGAATACTGGATGGATGGAAATTCGATGCTGATGCAGTTGACGAAGACAGACCGTTGCCCGAATTTATGAAAATCTGTTGATTGTTGATATACGATATATTTGGGATACGTTGAATTTTTACGCAATTCGCGTTTCCTGTAGATTGTTGTTGATAAATCGATGGATTCGGAATTGAATTTGATACCAATATGTTTGTGGTTGGAATATTCGGATTCATTAAAAGTCTCTTTAATTGCGAAGATTTACTCTTTAAATATCGTGACTGATTAATATTTGATTTTGGCATTATCGAAGATTTCGCCGTTTTGCGATTTGGCACATTTGTTACAACATTTCCTAGCAATGGTAATTGTGCATAAACGTTCGACATTGGTGCACTCGGAATTGAACTGTTCTTAATGTTCGAAGGTTGTGAAATGTTCTGATATCTCATATCGCAAACCGAGCCGGCGCATCCCACTGACACATAAGTTTCCAAGACGTGCGTATAGTGTTTCAATTCGTCAATTGTTATTGGCGGACTTATGAGCTGGAGCTGATTGATTTGAGTGAAAATACAAAGCTCACTCGTGGACAATGTCATCTTCAAGATCCTGAGATTTTGTTGTATATGAATCAGACAGATCTTCAAGTCGTGTATATTTTTTTTATTAAGTATGTTACCTTGAATAATCATGCGGCACCAATGAAAGTACACGCAGATGTTCACCACTGAGTCTTGCGTGGGAAAATTTACGGGCGCGTCAAAGTTCAAAGGCACATTCTTGGTCATTACACTCGGTTGATTCATCTTGGGTGAATAATACATAGCGGTGTTGTACAATGGCGGTTGCGCGCATACCGATGATGCAGAAGACATTGAATATGCATTGGTCGATCCGATTGATGCATTGAAATTCTGAAATAAATTAATAGGATTAGAACTCCGCGAAGATTCAAACTCTGTGCTCGTTTGAACCCTTGCTCCACTTATGCAATTCACGCTCGAAGTTGCCGAGCAAGTCCTCGGTATTTGTTCTCCTGAATGTGATCGCATGTCACACGTAGCTGGTCCAACGCTGCTTTCAGGTGCCGCTTGCATTCCTTTCGGGTTAGCAGATTGTAAGGATTTATTTATTTCTTCCTGACCACGTTGCGTCATATCTCTATTTGTTACATCTCTATTCTTGTACGACATTGTTACATCTTGAACATTTTTTTGTCGTTCGTCTGCTATAATTCTTTCATCGTTCAAGGAAGTCTTTGATGATTGTTTTTCTAAATCAAACACATCATGCGCTGATTTGGTTGGTTCGGAAGCATCTGTCATTCGCATATTTTCCTCTTCCGCAGATTGTACGCATTTATTCTTTTCTTTTTGATGATGCGTCATATTTTTATCTATATCAGAAATTGTATCATCTTGAGAACTCTGTACTTGCTGTTGTTTTGAAGAATGATTTGCATTATTTTTGGTAGTATGACTAGAATTACATGTAACTTCTCTAGTATTTAAATCTATTTCAACGGTATCATCTTGACTAACAGTCGGTGATTTTTGGACGTATCTTTTGCTTTGGACGTATCGTTTCCTTCGTTTATGACTGTCTTTTCGTGTTTAGAGTTTTCCGAAAATTGTCCTAAACTCATCTGAAAGAATTCAAGAATGTCTGGGTTGTTTTTACATGTATTTTTCTTAATATACGTGGACAGAAGCTCTTTCAACGAAAATTTTTGGGATATTCGAGATTTCGACTTGGGTCTTATTTTTATTTCTACCTCAATGTCGTTAAGATTATTTTCATCTACTGATAAATGATCACTGATATCTGATTCTGAACTTGAAGATACGTTTGATGTTAACGAGGTGGTTTCATTAAGAGCATTTTCTTTATTTGAAGAACCTCCTTTTGATTTGGACGGCGTTTTCAAAACTTGAGCATCAGTTATCACAGTTGTTATATTTTCCGCGATATTTTCATTATTCATTAATAATCTGTTGTCGACATTTTGCGATTTATCACAATCATCTTTCTCTTTATTATCGGATATCAACTCTTGGGCGGACATAGTTGATAATAATAGTTGATTATTAAAAAAGTTTGGTTTTATATCTCTCTGTATATTGTAAATTAAATTGACATTTTCGATATTCTTTGTATCTTCTTGCATAGTTACTTCTTTCGTTTTTACAGAAGTGGTATCTTCCAAATTAGCATTTTCAATATTTTTTTCATTTTCTTGTATAGTTATTTCTTTTCTTTTTTCATGAGCAGCATCTTCGAAATTAACATTTTTGATATTTTGTTGATTTTCCTGTATACTTGCTTCTTTCATTTCGACATCTTCGAAATTAACAGTTTCGCTACTTTCTGTGTAATTTTTGTTAATAATATTACCTGTATCGGCAATTTTTATAGAAATTTTTATGCGCGGTTTTTTTGCCGGAATTTCACTCTCTCCATCCTTTTGCCAAATATTAACAAAATTACGTTTACATGGCAAGTTTTTATCTCTGTTAGAATTTGTTTCTTCATCTATCTCTTCGCTCGTTATCAAATCTTGTAATGTGTCGTTTTCGATGCATATGGTGGAATCAGTCGAGTTGATAGACTCTGGTCTTGTTGAAGTCGTACTCTCTGTTTCGTCTTCCGAATTATTAACAGTCGTATCATGTCTGTCTTTATATTTTGAAGTTCCAGGTCTGTCATGAATATCTTCCGTCTCTTCCTTTATTGTAATATCGTTGTGTGTGTAAATTTTTGAATTTCTTGAGACAAATTGCTGATTTGTTTGCAATAGATATTGCGATATAATTTCTTTTTCCTCTTCACTCTCACTTTTGCTAGTACCATCCTCTTGGAACAAGATGCTAAAGTTTCTTCGTAGCTTTCTAATCTTCTTCTTCCCTATTTTTATTTGTACGTTTTTGTTTTTTATGTGCGAAAGTGTGTTTATTATTTTTACATATTCATACATTGTAATATCCTTCGGAAACATTTGATTTTCATTTTTATTATGACCACAAATTCGTTTATCCTCGGAAATTTCACGATCGATTATCTCAGTATTATTTTCTATCAAATTTTCATCGCATGATTTATCAGGAAAAGTTTCTGTCTCGTTTTCTATTTTTTTCTTCAGTTTTTTCTTACTTTTTTTCTTATCCGAAGATCCGGGATACATTCTTTTTTTACTTGATGTTTTAGAATCTATTTCGACGAATGAACTATTTCTTTGTTGATTTATAAGCTCCATTTTTTCAATTTGATTTGTGTTTACTGTTACAGGTATTTCAGTTGCAGACGTGCATGGTTGCTCAGCTGAAAATTCTGAATCGGCATGAGAAGACTGTGTATTCGAGATGGATGAATGAGTCTCGTCCGTGATAGTTTCCGCCTCGAAACAAGTTATTTTATCAAATGATACATTAATGTTACTTTTACACGAGATATTTTTATTTTTTAACATACAATCGTGTTCTTGTAACCGCGTGTCTAACGATTTTATTTTTGAAAAAAAAAATTCTTGATTTACCTCTATATCTTCTTTTTGTAATTTATTCCACAATCCTTCCAAATTCTTTCCAAATTCCTTATCGAAATACCTATCTTTCGAGGAGACAATGTTACTTTTAGATTGGGAATTTTTATTTTCAGACTCGCGGATAGAATCATGTGCAGATTTGTTTGGCGATTCATTTTTTGCGAAAAAATCTAACTTTACATTGGTGCTCGATTTCTCTGAAGAAATATCTTTGTCCTTCGCAAAAGTAATATTACTATTAATGAAAGAGTTTTCTTTTTCTATTTTTTCTAAGACAGAATCCCGTATAACGCTGTTCGAATTTTTCACAGGCGAACTACATTCCTGGATTTTAGTTTGATAAACCTTATCTGCTATAATACCTAATGATACAGTTTTAACAGAAAAGCTCGTGTTTAATTTTGCGCTGTCATCTGCAATTTGTTCGCTCTTCTGAGAATTATGGTCCGAACTTCTCAATAACGATGTCTCTTCCTTTTGATATTCAATTTGCCATTTTTTTTTCGGGAATGAAACAGAATTTTGAGGACTGCTATTGTGTGGAGATTGCAACAGATCCTTATCTTGAAGCGACGATTGCGTCTCTCTGAAACGTAAAAGAATATGTTATACAATTGTATTCATTATAATGCAAAATACATAGTGCAAAAGAAAAAATATGACAATTTATGTTTATTTAAAAACACAAATATACATGTAAAATATGTTGAAATAATTTTTAACAAAGGTATATATTTAATAATAATCAATTCTGCTGCGTAATATGTGCTAATATTATTAAACCTACAGGACGAATCATATTTTATTTGCAAAAGAAAAACATTAAAAATTTTAAATTATTTTATATTATAATAAAAATTATTTAAAATGAAATCTATTTCAGGCTTGTTTTGTTGCATAATATGTGTTAAATTAGTATTAGTAAACATATATTAAATTATTAAATCTATGTTAATCTTATGTAATTTTTCAAATATTATAATAAAATTAATTTATAATAAAATTCTGTTTCTAATTAGTACATCTATAAAGAATCAAAATGTATACACATTTCAACTATTTCTCTCTTTTTTGTATGTTTAATCATGATTTTAATCATGTTTAATCATGATTTTGTGAGTTTAATTATGATTTTGACTGGGCAACACCGACGATATTACATAACGAAAAACATACGAAAAAAGAGAAATAGCTGAAAATGTTTTTCATTAAAAAATATTAATAACACAATCAACCTACAAAAAGACACAGATAATTGGAACAATATTTATGACAATATATTAAAGGTTGTGTAGTCCTCGGCTATTATTTTATCACGGTTCGATAAGAAGTTTTATTCGCATAATATGTTCACGGTTTTCAATTTTAAGATAAATTTCAACGTTTTTGTTCATATATTTCTTTGCGCATTACTGTGAATTTATTGTAATTACTTTATTGTAGTACACTTGAGAAGAACCAAAACCCATATGGTCGAAACGTTTTGTGTGGTGATTATTAAATATTTATTAGCCAGTATTGGTCATAAAAATTATTTATCCTTTTAATTATTGACTGGCAACATCAAGAATTTGATTATAAATAAATAACATAAACTGATAAATACAATTTTATTCTGAACTCTGTGTCGCAAATTATATCGACCATCTAAAAAATAAACTTTAAATAAACAAAAATTGTTTAAAATTTTTTTTTCAGGAGATTTAACATCTATCGAGAGATTCTCTTTTAAAAAAATTCAATTATTTTATAAAAATCTTTCCTCAATGGTAAAAGTCGACCAAACTGGCAATTATTTATTATAAATAATTAGTTAAAATACAACGTTTCGGCTGTCATTGCAGCCCTTTTCAAGTAAATCTATAAAAAGTTACATAAAAATAATTATAATTTTAATACATTTTATCGCAACAAATAATTATAAATTCATATACAAAAATATGTTACATACCAAACGTAAATGCATAATAAATTAATACAGTAAATCAAATTCACTGCATATCACCGACAATATTCACCATTGTTTTAATGAACAATGTAGAATTGACAGAAGTAAGCAAGAAATAAATAGATGTTAACAGTTAGCAAGAATTTTAGTCACTACGCGTTAAGAAAATCGAGACAAAACTAATGTGTCTTTCGCAATCTAAAACCTCATAACAAAGTCAAATAAATAAATAAATAGGTAAAAATAAAAATAATTTAAATAGCGTCAAGAACACGATCATAAATCCCACTAAAATTCTCCGTATCTTTTTGTAAATTAATGCCTTTTTACTTTGTTTTTTTATATAAAACATTTCTGCAATTTCTTTTTTTCTTGTTTATTTTTCTTGATGCAAGATCACCGGAGAATCCCAACGGAACTCATGATCGTTGCAAGTCCGATGCAAACTAACGACTGAATGCAATGTAGTGTCTTTTTTGATATTATTTCTATGTTCTTTGATGCGCGTTTCTAAATGTCTAAATGTAGTTAACATCTATTTATTTCTTGCTTACTTCTGTCAATTCTACATTGTTCATTAAAACAATGGTGAATATTGTCGGTGGTATGCAGTCAATTTGATTTACTGTATTAATTTAGTATGCATTTACGTTTGGTATGTAACATATTTTTGTATATGAATTTATAATTATTTGTTGCGATGAAATGTATTAAAATTATAATTATTTTTATGTAACTTTTTATAGATTTATTTGTGAAAAGAGCTGCAATGACAGCCGAAACGTTGTATTTTAACTAATTATTTATAATAAATGATTGCCAGTTTGGTCGACTTTTACCATTGAGGAAAGATTTTTATTAATTATTACTGGCGAACCTTAAGGATTATTATCTGTTCAATTATTTTATATTTATTTTACATAATTTTCCATTTTGATTATTTTTTTAATTTTATATATTTTTATTAATAAAATATATTAGTAATCGACATTTTTCAGAAATTTAATAACCGTTCGCGCACCAATTATGTCGTGAGATCACGCGCTGTGCTCGATCATGCAAATCGGATGAAACGAAGCAAGATTTTACAGATCACCTGTTCGCAATCTTATCCGAGATATTCACAGAGGTAATGATATCCGGATTTGTTGACTCGAATAATTCTGTCCTTTTTTTGTCATCATTATTGTATTCCGATGATAGCTGAGCGCGAGTCGCGGACTCCTCTTCAGGATAATAACGATTAATAATCGCTCCGAAAGGCGCATTTGTGAGATCCGATTTCTGTGATGGATACTCGATGCCGCGATGTCGTTCCTTCTTGCGACGTCGAAGACGTCTCGGGTCGCTCGGATGCGGAATGTCTACGCTGCGGACCTGTTGACACTTCGATAGTGTTATCCGTTGGCAGCGGTACTCTCTTGTTTGACTTCTCGGCATCTTTGGCGGCGTCTTTTCGTTCATTCCTTTTACTTATATGTGTTTCCAGTATAAGCAACGAATAGTCATCAAACGCGCGAACGGTGATTGCGGCAGCTGATCGTCGTCAGTTCATCAGAGGTAGCTGAGAAAAACGAAATTGTTGCCGCATACACGCCTTATATATGATTTCGCTGCTCGCAGTAGTACATCAGTGAGATCAAATATCGCTGAAACGACGAGATTTGTATATCGTGGTGAGTCTGACATTTACCGAGGCTCGAAGCAAAGTTAAAAAAATTTTTTAAAAATCTTTATGCAATAGATTTTTTTAAATCTTTCTGTCTTTTATTAATTATATTTAATTATATTTTTTTTAGTTTCTTAATTATTTTTAAATTTTGTTTATTATATAATCTCGTATATTTATTTTTAAAAAAATAAAAAATAAAAAATCTTTACGCAATCTCGGAATTTTTTAATCACCTCTCTTTTTTATTAATTACATTTAATTTTTTTAGTTTTTTAAATTAATTTATTTTATTTTAAATTTTGTTTATTATAATCTTGATCTATATTTCATTTTTTAAAAAAGCAAAAACAAAAAAATCTTTATCTCGGGTTTTTGTAAAATTATCTGTCTCTTATTAATTACATTTTTTAAATTTCTTAAATTTAATCATATATTTTGAATTTTGTTTGTTATACTGTCATGCATTCATTTTGCATACAACGATAAAAAGTTTATAGCTATCATAGTTGTTATATATTATAATCAAGGAAAAATTTAATGTTATTAAAGGGATCCTATAAACGGAATTGCGAACTCCGATGGATTTGCGCCCTCATCTGAGCGGAACTAAAATTGAAGTGATAACGGATGGGAGAGTATACATTAAAATTGTTACAAATGCTTTTTAAAGTAAAGACTTCAAACTTGACAACTAAAAAAATTTCAAATACGACTATGTTTGGCGGAGTTACGATTATTTGAAGTTATGCGAAATTTGATACGAAATGACCTATGCATTAATTTTGTTGGCTAGTGTACATATACATAATTCAAAAGAGCAGTAATACATAATAATTCAGAATTAATGAATTTTTACAATCAAAAGAAAATAATTAAGTAACAAGAGAATACACAATACACACTTATTGCGTTGTCTGGAAATATGAAAACGGAAGCACATACATAAATGAGTATGATGATTCATTGAAATAGAGTAATAGTATAACGTTCGAACGTCTTATAAGTTAACGGAACAAAATGAGCAGAATCAATTCTAATTAATATTTTTATTTGTTGCTCATTTGTTGCTCAAAAGTTGCCAAAGAAAATAATTTGTTGCTCTGTTATTTTTTTTTTTAAATGATGTTTCGCTAGTTCCAGTTATATAAGACAGTTATAAAAAAAGTTTATAAAACGCTTGATACTAATTTAACGAAACTTGTAGAAAGAGTTGGAAAGTACAATTGTGGAATTCAGGTCATCATGTCAAATCGATCTTTCTTTCAAGAGTAATAAGGAAAATGATAGCTTCGTGAATTTAGAAAATAAGTTGGATATTACTAGATTTCGTATTATATGCAAATTGCATATTTGTTATTTTTGCATTTTCTACAAGAACATTAATAATGTAAATAAATTATAATTTTTTTAATTAATAAACATTAATTAGTTGAAACTATTATAATTTTTTTAAATTATCAATGCTGTCATAGAATGTGCAAAAAGTAACAAATATGCAATTTGCATATAATCCGGTCTAGATATCACTAATATAAAGTCTAGAATAAAGAATTTTTATTATATTGAGATATAATAAAAATTCAATGAATTAAAATTATGTTGAGACATACCCAATAAAAATTCAATGAATTAAAATTATGTCGAAACATAATCAAAATTCGACGAATTAAAATTATGTTGCGACATAATAATAATTCAAGAATTTTTATTATGTCTCGACGTAATAAAAATTCAATGAATTAACCGCGTGTGCAGAGCGTGCGCCATACACGGGCGGCAGGATATAAGGGGCAAATGAATGAGAAGTTTGTGAATGGAATAAAGTAGTTTTTTATAAAAAAAACTCATTTCTTTGGCTGTTTTAAGTATAGAAAATGAAATATTTAAAACTCTAAATAAAAAAAAGATATTATCAAAGAATTTGCTATACCAAAAAGAAACTAAATCTCCATTAAATTGAAAAATT